AATGGCAGAGTAGACAGCAGGGAGACAGGGACACGTAACTGTTCGCTACAAAGGGTCCAATTGTATGGGTTCAAACCGGGACATGGACAAGGGTTCGCTATATCACGAAATTCGCTCTATGTGAGTTCGTTATAAGTGGAGTCGACTGTACTGTATATGTGTGCATACTACACTGTATGGTGTTTATTATGAGTGGTATTATCTGCATTATTGGGGGGCGTGTCTGGGGGTGGGTGGGTGGGTCAAGAATGAAACACCTCTTAGACGTCTCTAAGTAAATACATGTATTTACGGACGGCCCCTAAAGAGACAATTAGCAAGAGGTACACAACACCAAGAGTGTGCAACTCCTGATCCCCCAGCTATGGGAGCCGTCCACGTCGCGCTGCCTGCAGTACGCAGTGAAATGACGATCCAGCTGCCTGGACGTGAGTTCTCCTGCGGTTTGGTCCCAACAACGTCAGGTGCAAAATGATAAGTTCAAAGGCAGTGCCTGTGCGTGACGCATCACGTACGAAACCATCCGAAGTCTCCGAGGAAAGCGGATTTGGAAGCAGGAAACCGGAGCAGATCCATAACGACGCAATGGCCCACAGTTCGTGCCTACGTAATGCAGGCAGCGCGCCGTGCCAGACCCCATATGCAGAGGTGCACACTTTGGGGTTATGTTCTCTTGATTTAGCATATGGGTTGTATTGAGAGTGAGTAGTATGGTCTCAGATGTACGAGAGTTGTGAGAAACACTGATTATTATTCTATCATGATTATTCAATGTATGTGTACTTCAAAGAACTGAAGTGTCCAGATCTACGCACCTATCCTGATGATGATGCTTGCCACACGCCCGGAACACGGTCCTGGTCCCAAGATCCTCACACAGCACAGGTTGCGCGCTATGACAGGAAGCCTGATGCGCAAGTGTCGGCATCACTTCACCGTGACCTTCACTTTTGCCTTGACTCGAGTCTTGGACAGAGTTCAGTACTCGACGTAGATCTATGAAGTGCACAATGCCAAAGGCAATGCCGGCGATGGTGACTCATCAGGGACTTGAACATTGTTTACTTCAAATACTTGCTTTACAGTCACTCGTAGTCCCAGGCCAGTCGCACCGCTTGCAGCTGTTGTGTCCGCAACGCCGTCAAACATTACCGCTAGCTACCGCGTAGAACTCATCCAGGCCGGAGTAGCCGTCAAAACAAGTCACTCAAGTTCTAACCTGCAATAATTGATTCCGCCGATGTCAGGTATAAAGTAGCTGCTACACTCCCTTCTGTCAGATGTGTCAGATCATATGAATAAAATCCCAAACTCACTGAAAATCAACACAACAAAAAAGCTCGACTCCAAGTTTAGAGCTTGACTCCTGATCCTCGACTCCAGGGGACAGTTTCATGATTGTACTGTACATGCCCCCCCCCCCCCCCCCCCCCCCCCCCCAATACACCATACCAAACTTCATAACCATGATAACAGGGCACCCGTACTGCAGCCTAGTGCAGGTGTCATACCCCAAACAGAACGTATGGATGCGAATGTCTGATCTGAGTCCGAAGCACGTTTCTCCTGTCACTGGATGGGACGGCTATTTGGGCAGTGTGAATGGATGCACACAGGTGTAAGCATACATACAACGAAACCTGTCTAAGACGACCGCTCAAGGGACCTTCAAAGCGTGGTCTCTGCTACCAGGTGGTCTCCTTATCCAGGGTCATTTGACTGGAAATAGCATCCCTTGGTCCTGGTTTCAGTGGTCTTCTTGGACAGGTGGTCACCTTATCCAAGTGGTCGCCTTGACAGGTTTTACTCTACATGCACACAGCCATGCACACACACAAACCTTGGACCTTGGACCTTGGACACGCCGCCATATTCTGGCTATGCGGACCCCATGCCATGGGGGGGGGGGGGTTGAGCAGGTTCGGAACAGTAGGGGCGATGGGCGATGACGGGATAGGTCCTGTGGTCTACTGAAACGCCGACCGCAATTGCAAACGATGCAGAAGGAGCTGCGGTCTGTGTTGGTTGCTCTGGCCGAGCCACGGCTGCACTTGTGACGCTTCATGCCTTGAAGCTGCAGCGTTCGCAGGACACATTGTTCGTAACTGGTGACTCAAGTGTGTCAGAAGATGCCTCTGCTGGTGATGTTGCTGGCGAGCACTTGTGTCGGGCAAATCCACAACGGAGCACACACAAACACACACACTCACACGCACCGCGTCTCGGCTTGAAAACCAAAAAAGTCAGTTGTTCACGCGGCGCCACAAGCTGGTCGATGTGAAAAAAATTGATGACCAAGACAAAAGTGCATGCACCATGAAGGATGACTATCGCCTACATATTTTATTCTGTACATTGAAAACTTTAGAAACTGAAAGAAAGCTGTATTTGAGTGTGGCGGTATTGCCACTACATGTTTTCTTAGGAATGATGAATGATGATCTAAGGTTGCCTGTACTGTAGAGACTAGAGACTAAACAATTGTGCGGATAAAGGAAATCATCGGGTACAGCAATGTGGTCAAGTGTACTCACAGCAAAACTATACAGTCATTCCGCGCATGTACATTGTGCTGTTGCAGACATTGACATCAGATTCTGTTGAGAAGTCAAGCGGGCACGGGGCGCTGGCCTTGCAGCCGTACGCACTGCAGGTCCAGTTTTTTTACATGGGGTACAGTACATGTACGCGCTAAGCAAGTAAGGGCGCCGACCCCGGGCATCCCGGCACCGGATTTCTACCTCCACTACAGAATGCAAAAATATTATAATAACGTACAATAGGCATTGCTAGATCCCAGTCAGGCCATGGAGATACAGAACAGTGCACTGCGGCGACTAGAGATCCACTGTGAGCGGCCGTTGGCAGGAAAGGCTGCACCGCCAGATACTACGAATGGGCTTCAAGTCTGGACGTGGGACGAGTTGGAGAGGTGTTGGGGCGGGGGTTAGACTGAGCCATGTACAAGTACATGTATATGGCCTATGATTGGTCAATAACATCTGAAGAGGTTCACACCAGAACAACATGATTGTGTTCTCCTACTTCGAAGCATAAATATAACTTATGTAATTTCCTGTGACGTCACAGCACTGCTGAGTGATACTGTATCCCCTATGGCCCTTGTAGTCTCAGCAAACGAAACGCAGACTGGTGAGCTTACAGTCCGAATCAACTGCCAGTGTCACACGCAATGGAGACCTGCTCATAGGATGGCGCATTTGCCACGTGATTTCTCCCCACCTCTGTTCCACATGCAGACTTTACCGTCTCGCGAGGCCGCGGCCACCACCCGGCAGCCTTCCGTAGCGTCCCAGGCCACCACGGGCTCCTCCAGGCCGGTAAGAATCTCCAGGACGTCGGAGGTGCGTGTGTCCCACAAGCGAACGGTGCCATCGTCACAGCACGTTACGAGTATGGCGTCGTGAGAGTTCGCCGTGTACGACGGGGTGCGCTGCCGAGTTGTCGCGGCAACCGGAACGAACCCGATGAACGGTATGTTGTCACGGTGACTGGTGAGAGTGGAGCGTGTGGACTGCTTCTGCAGGTCGACCAATCGCACGGTGCGGTCGCGACTGGCTGATGCCAGCAGTGAGTTGTTGAAGACGATCATGTTCACGTCGCTGGCATGGTCCTGCAGGACAAGCACCTGCAAACATCACAAGCAGGACAACATATAAGATCCGCACGTCAGACACTCTGTCTTGTATTACTGTATTTTCAACATGTAGACTCTACCGTATTTCCTCGATTACAAGTCGCACTTGATTATAAGTCGCATCCCCACTTTCAGGTTTTAGCCATAATGTTTGAATATAAGAGAGGTTCTGCAAAACCAAAACGCGTACAAACTTTCGCTCTGCGTCAGGAAGTGAGAAACTTCGCACGAACATTCACAACTTTGGACGCGAAACTTGCCGGGAACGCGAAATGAACTTTCGTGGGAAGTTTCGTGAGATCGGGTCATGGCGTACGTGCACTTGGCGTGTGCAGGCTACGAAAATGTGCAGAACACAAAGTTCGTGCGAAAATTCGTGCACATTTTTGCAAGGCCCGTCACGAAACTTCGTTCGAATTTCTGTTTTGCAGAACCTTTGAGTCTCTATATTCAAATAATTTGACTCGGGTGGAGAGCCAAGGATTACTTTATAAGAAGAAAAGAAGACCAAAGAGCTACACTGAGTACACGTTACGCTATAATATCCATTAACACCACCACCAGTTACTTTACAATCAGCGTTATCTACCAAAGCGGCCTGCACGGAGGACCACGGCAGTACGGAAAGCGGCGAGCAGTTACAGCCTGGATCACAGTATGACCTAAAATAATAATGTTTTCTTTTCACTAAGCCTCCAGCCCGCCACAATGATCATGCCCTCCTGGGTGAAAATTTGGAAACAATCGAGAACTCTTCGTGTACTACCGCAACGGGTTGGAGGTCTAGTGGAAAGGTGACAATGCTACAATGGAGCATAAACGCTCTCCAAAAAAACAATATCTGTTCAGGTAAAACACGCCGTTAAATCCGCCATCTGCTTACTACAAGCAGACAGTGACAATGTTGCCGGGGAAGTAGGCTCTCTCTCTCATTGGAAGCAAAGCATAGTATACAGTTATACTGATTGCCTGGTGATTAGGACCACTCTCTGCAATGCTGCAAGACTGTTCTGACAGGCCTCAGGGTTCTAGCCAGGTCAAAATTGTAGGGGGGGGGGGGGGCATGGGATACAGTCACCCCGTAACCCATTTTTCCATTTTTCAACAATGTCTTGCCATGTGAAATGCAACGTAAGGCAAACCCCCGAGCCCCCCCCCCCCCCCCCCCCCCACAGCCTATGATAAGTGTGTCTTCATGAACCCTCTAGTAGTGACTGCCGACTGCATTTTCGTTGAAGGGCATGAAAAACACAAAAATCGACCAAAAGAGTAGGGGGACGTCTAGACGCCGCATTTTCACAGCCGGGGGCTCGATCAGAGTAGGAGGGTGCTGCCCCCCCCCCACCCTCCTTTGGCTAGAACCCTGGGTCTATCTCATCTCCAAAAGGAACAACCCACGCCACCCGATCGATTGCGAGGGCTACAACATACAACATTCACCACTTGAAGAGTCAGCAGCAGGGATGTTGCGTCTACGTCTCTACACGGGCTGCAAAGTGCAAAGCACTCAGTCACATACAGTTGCGCTCACTGAAATCCGACCCACAGTGCAAAGCTGACGCCCTGGACCAGTTCCGATTACATCACTGTATTTGTACATGTGTAAGTCAGGCCGCATTCGCACCACTTCCAGAACGTCAAGGGCGTGCTAGTTGAGGGCGCCAGCTTTGCACAGCCGGTCGGACTTCAGTGAGCGCAACTGTACATATCCTAGATGTAGTCGGAACCAGTTCAGACAACTGCCACAAGAACCAACCATCGACTAGTACACAGGGTTTAACTACTCAGCATACTATTCTATGCCTCATTCACCATAACCGAAACAAGGTTGATTGGTAGAAAAGTGCTGAGAACAACGCCAGGCCACAATGGACTGGCTGCTTTGCCCCTACACATCAGGCTTTACGAATACCCCAGCACATGTCACATCACACTTTGCCCCATAGCACACAATCAGCATTCGTGATCCATGCGCTGTTTGAGACACCACACTCCTTCAGTTACACTGATGGACATCGATGCTCAGCCACACACACTTCTAATTCTGTGAGGATATGACTGCGGTATTGTGCTTCTGGGAATCTTGCATTTTACTCCGAAAAATGAATGAAACTTCTCCTCCAGCTTTCTGGGTCACAATCATGATCCCAAATCGCCAACAAACAGACGTGTGTGCTAGCGGGACAGGGAGGGCATCTGTTCGGATCGACACCCGTGTTCTTACCTGCTTGCCGGACAGGGGGCTCCACACACGCACAGTGCAGTCATTGGAACAAGTAGCCAAGGCCGTTCCGTCGCCATTGTACGCAACGGCCGTCACCCAGTCGTGGTGTGCCGACAGAACGTGCAGGCACCGTCCGGTCAGGCCGTTCCAGACGCGCGCTGTGCGATCCCACGAGCAAGTGGCGATGTTCCTACTGCCGTCCGGCGACCACGCAATGCCCACCACGCCGGCTTGGTGGCCTTTCAGAATGCACGTCGCCCGTCCACTGCGGGTCTCCCACACGCGAGCAGTGTGATCCGCAGAGCATGTTGCCAGCTGAACAGCACCGCGAGGCGCGAACACCGCTTTCCACACCGTGGCAGTGTGCGTGCTCAGAAAGAACAAGCTCAGATTGGAGCGCACCTCCCACACGTGAACTTTCGCATCGGCACCGCAGGACGCGGCCAGATCGCGCGCGTCGCCACCAACAGCCGAGGTCACTGATGTAATGGCGCCGTCATGTTTGTGCTGCGTGTAGTGGAGTTGTGCGGAGTTTGAGTTCCACACCCGAACACGACCGTCGCCATCGCCGCTCACGAGCAGGTCACCGTCGCAGGCGAAGGCCAGGGCACGAACAGTCACGCGGCGCGCACCATGATCCAACTGAACGGTGGCTTCACGCTTACCGGCTTGTTTGGCCTGTATTGCCTGGTTGACTTGAGCCGCATCCTCTTCGTCACTGATGCCGGAGTCGTTCGACGGTTCGTGATTCTCCATGTCGGCAGGCACAGACAATCTCTATTGCAAGGCACGCCCAGCAAACTAGTAATATTCTTCTGAGACCGTCACAACGTGGATGGCGGCGGGGGAGGCGGGGTGAAGGCTCTAGTGAACGCCTCGGCACAACTCGGGACAGATGTGTGGCTATGCCCGGTCTCGTCCACAGGACATACGACCGCCTACAGCCTACACCGCTACAGCACACTACAGGCTCAGTGGAGCAAGAGGAAGACTCTCGACAACCCTCAGCTGCAGCAAACACCAAGGCAGGACGAAGCGGTGGTGATATGACGTCCACGTACTTCTCCGTGAAAGTGAGATCGAGCCAGAGACAACAGTCAACACTGACAACAGGTAACTGAGCCTCTGGGGTTAGAACGTACATGTACCGTACTTCACACGGGCGCGTCGGTGTTGTTCAGCTCACGATCAAACATGTTGGTATGTATTGTACATGTAGACTGATTTTCAGTCTTTGCAGCGTAAACATGGTAAACACATCAAGCTCTAGATTAGTTGCGGTACGGAAAACCATACTCCACACGACCCTAGACCGTAGCTTGACACTTCGAAAAATCGACTTTGTTCAGTTTAGCACGACGAGCCATCAGCGCGACGCCAAACGAGCTCCGACTTGCTCGCTCATAGGAGGGACGAAACGTGAACAATACACGACGGACATCGGTGACCATGCACACCACACCACCTGGCTCTGTAGTATTGTGCACTGGACGACAGGTCTACAGAAGCATGTCACTGTGTGTCCTGTACCACATCATGTACTAGCTGTAGGATGATGACTGATGTTGATGAGTTGGCCTGTATACTGTAGCTGGTGGTTCTGGCAATCTGGGTCATCATGGTCATTAGAGAATAGAGAGCACGTTATTTCCGTCGTGACGCGCAATTTCACGTCAAATTTGGCGTAAGACTCCAAATTCCGACGCGAGCTGCGAGTAATCAACGCGAGTGACCTGCAGTTCACGTCGAAATTTGGAGTTTTACGCAGAGTTTGACGTGAAATTGCGCGTCACGTCAGAAATAACGTGCACCTTTTAAAACCTCTCTATTGACTACAAGCGACATGATGCTAAGACTGTCATTACATCACGGACAGGGCAGGACTGCCAGGAATTAGGTCGGTTGACGACTGTTTACCAAGTACGTGTAAATCCCGAAAGTCCAGTGTGTGCGTTGCCCTATCCTAGAGCACTGCGAGTCACTCTGTACATCATCCTTCTGGCCAGCCCCTCTCTGCATGCTACTACAGTCCAGACAAAGATGATAACCTAGCTTTTGGCCATAAATGGGTCAAATTTTGAGTTTTTGCACAATTTTTTCTGCAATCCCCCATGGAATGCTCTTCCCATTATGTTTCTGAAGTCCATTTCTCCGAAAAGCAAGCCATAGGAAGAATAGGATTTCGGCCAGGTTTGTCTTGTAAACACTGGGAATGGCCATGATAATCCAATCCGTTTTACTCCACTTGCATCACTGCATTGTCTGGTTCGAACCCCAGTTGGCAGAGTTGAGGTACCCTTTCTGGACCCTTTTTCTAACCTCAAATTTCCGGGCACTAAACTGTGTGCGATAAAATCACGAAAAATCGCCAAACACGGGAGCTCGCCAGAGCCAGCGCTCATCTTATTTTATGCATGGACTGTACAATGATTGTCATGTACGCAAGGTATTATGTAGGGGCATTGTATCCCAGCTCAGCATCTGTACAAGTGGACAGTTGGGAGGGGGGAGGGGGGTATTTTATTCTCGGTAAATCGCCGGAAATTCCGAATCAATCATACCATGTATACGCCCACCACAAGAGAAGCACGCAAATCTGTAAATGCACTGGATATAGATTTTCTCTTATAGCATTGATAGCAAACAAGATCTGAATGAGATAGATCAAGACTTTCGCCAGATAACTGTCTAATCCACACAACTGTCGAAGCCATGTGAATCGACCACCAAGGCACACCTGGTCTACACCACACGGAATACATCGGCATAAAACGGCCAAGACGGTTACCTATGCACACCCTACACTTGCTGGGGTAACCAGTATAGACAGCACACTGCTTTGATAGAAGCAGACACTAGATGAACTGGTACCTTGAAGTGAAATTGGACTTACATGTACTTTACCAACCAGCCTCGGCTACTGAGTACTGGGAACCCAGAGCCAACAGACATACCAACAACCTCAGCCATGAAAGCTATTATAGTGACAACACACTGGATTGTGGAGCCGAAACTAGTCAACTTCCAGATGCTTTGGCAAGAAGGTAGCCTTCCGACAGGTTGGTACACACACCATGTACCATGTATACGCCAGTCGCAAAAGAAGCACGCAAATCTGCAAATGCACTGGATGGGCACCCACAGATTTCCTCTAATAGCAACGATAGCGAACAATATCTGAATGGGACAGATCAAGACTTGCGCCAGATAACACACACACACACACACACACACACACACACACACACACACACACACACACACACACACACACACACACACACACACACACACACACACACACCTGTGACACCCATCGCCGGAGGCAATGATAGCAATGCTACGGCAGAAGCCATAGCAACTTGTGCTGGGATTGCACCATTCAACAGCTTGCAAGGCTGAAGAATTGACCGTCACTATTCAGCCTGGTCTACACCATACAGCTATCATTAGTTGACGTGACTTTTCTGGCCAGTGAATCCCTATTTTTGGTCTTTTCATTTTTTTCCCCGCACACACCATCACACAACATTCTCCGGCATGCACTGGCTGTTGGTAACCACCCAGGAGAATGAAAGAAAAGTCAGGAAGAGTCTGAGAAAGAGAAGAAAGACGCGCGCACACACACACACACACACACACACACATACACTTGTTGCTCACTGCCAAAGCTGGTCACGTGGGTCTCCCCGGGAGAGGGGAGAGAGACTCAAAACACACACGCACGCACACAGCTGTGCATAGATTATCCTCCCCCGAATACATTGCACAAAGCTCAATACAGAATAGATTTGTGGTACACGTTTGAACTAGAATTCCAGTGAAAAAACCATGTTCATGATCACGATGTGTATATTAATAATTATGGTGGGCCATGAGTAGGGGAACTAGGGCAGAAACACCAAGAAATCAGAGTCCGGTTAAAATTAATGGTAAAATGGGGCAGAGTTGATCGAGGCAAAGACGAAACTTGATACAACACACTGGTCACGCTTATGCAAACCATCCTCCGTCTGGGGAATTGAGAAGGAGGGAAGAAAGAGCTAAAAATGGACACAGGACAGAAGAAACGTGAGCATGATGGGACACGCATTGTTGACATGCTCAGCTAGTGGAAAGTAGTAGCATTATAGACATACTGAATAGTAATAAAAAATAGAGAAGAAAGGAAACCGAGCGCCATTGCATTCACGCAGGCAACGGCAAACTGATATCATGCGCTGTGTGTGTGTGTGTGTGTGTGTGTGTGTGTGTGTGTGTGTGTGTGTGTGTGTGTGTGTGTGTGTGTGTGTGTGTGTGTGTGTGTGTGTGTGTGTGTGTGTGTGTGTGTGTGTGTGTGTGTGTGTGTGTGTGTGTGTGTGTGTGTGTGTGTGTGTGTGTGTGTGTGTGTGTGTGTGTGTGTGTGTGTGTGTGTGTGTGTGTGTGTGTGTGTGTGTGTGTGTGTGTGTGTGTGTGTGTGTGTGTGTGTGTGTGTGTGTGTGTGTGTGTGTGTGTGTGTGTGTGTGTGTGTGTGTGTGTGTGTGTGTGTGTGTGTGTGTGTGTGTGTGTGTGTGTGTGTGTGTGTGTGTGTGTGTGTGTGTGTGTGTGTGTGTGTGTGTGTGTGTGTGTGTGTGTGTGTGTGTGTGTGTGTGTGTGTGTGTGTGTGTGTGTGTGTGTGTGTGTGTGTGTGTGTGTGTGTGTGTGTGTGTGTGTGTGTGTGTGTGTGTGTGTGTGTGTGTGTGTGTGTGTGTGTGTGTGTGTGTGTGTGTGTGTGTGTGTGTGTGTGTGTGTGTGTGTGTGTGTGTGTGTGTGTGTGTGTGTGTGTGTGTGTGTGTGTGTGTGTGTGTGTGTGTGTGTGTGTGTGTGTGTGTGTGTGTGTGTGTGTGTGTGTGTGTGTGTGTGTGTGTGTGTGTGTGTGTGTGTGTGTGTGTGTGTGTGTGTGTGTGTGTGTGTGTGTGTGTGTGTGTGTGTGTGTGTGTGTGTGTGTGTGTGTGTGTGTGTGTGTGTGTGTGTGTGTGTGTGTGTGTGTGTGTGTGTGTGTGTGTGTGTGTGTGTGTGTGTGTGTGTGTGTGTGTGTGTGTGTGTGTGTGTGTGTGTGTGTGTGTGTGTGTGTGTGTGTGTGTGTGTGTGTGTGTGTGTGTGTGTGTGTGTGTGTGTGTGTGTGTGTGTGTGTGTGTGTGTGTGTGTGTGTGTGTGTGTGTGTGTGTGTGTGTGTGTGTGTGTGTGTGTGTGTGTGTGTGTGTGTGTGTGTGTGTGTGTGTGTGTGTGTGTGTGTGTGTGTGTGTGTGTGTGTGTGTGTGTGTGTGTGTGTGTGTGTGTGTGTGTGTGTGTGTGTGTGTGTGTGTGTGTGTGTGTGTGTGTGTGTGTGTGTGTGTGTGTGTGTGTGTGTGTGTGTGTGTGTGTGTGTGTGTGTGTGTGTGTGTGTGTGTGTGTGTGTGTGTGTGTGTGTGTGTGTGTGTGTGTGTGTGTGTGTGTGTGTGTGTGTGTGTGTGTGTGTGTGTGTGTGTGTGTGTGTGTGTGTGTGTGTGTGTGTGTGTGTGTGTGTGTGTGTGTGTGTGTGTGTGTGTGTGTGTGTGTGTGTGTGTGTGTGTGTGTGTGTGTGTGTGTGTGTGTGTGTGTGTGTGTGTGTGTGTGTGTGTGTGTGTGTGTGTGTGTGTGTGTGTGTGTGTGTGTGTGTGTGTGTGTGTGTGTGTGTGTGTGTGTGTGTGTGTGTGTGTGTGTGTGTGTGTGTGTGTGTGTGTGTGTGTGTGTGTGTGTGTGTGTGTGTGTGTGTGTGTGTGTGTGTGTGTGTGTGTGTGTGTGTGTGTGTGTGTGTGTGTGTGTGTGTGTGTGTGTGTGTGTGTGTGTGTGTGTGTGTGTGTGTGTGTGTGTGTGTGTGTGTGTGTGTGTGTGTGTGTGTGTGTGTGTGTGTGTGTGTGTGTGTGTGTGTGTGTGTGTGTGTGTGTGTGTGTGTGTGTGTGTGTGTGTGTGTGTGTGTGTGTGTGTGTGTGTGTGTGTGTGTGTGTGTGTGTGTGTGTGTGTGTGTGTGTGTGTGTGTGTGTGTGTGTGTGTGTGTGTGTGTGTGTGTGTGTGTGTGTGTGTGTGTGTGTGTGTGTGTGTGTGTGTGTGTGTGTGTGTGTGTGTGTGTGTGTGTGTGTGTGTGTGTGTGTGTGTGTGTGTGTGTGTGTGTGTGTGTGTGTGTGTGTGTGTGTGTGTGTGTGTGTGTGTGTGTGTGTGTGTGTGTGTGTGTGTGTGTGTGTGTGTGTGTGTGTGTGTGTGTGTGTGTGTGTGTGTGTGTGTGTGTGTGTGTGTGTGTGTGTGTGTGTGTGTGTGTGTGTGTGTGTGTGTGTGTGTGTGTGTGTGTGTGTGTGTGTGTGTGTGTGTGTGTGTGTGTGTGTGTGTGTGTGTGTGTGTGTGTGTGTGTGTGTGTGTGTGTGTGTGTGTGTGTGTGTGTGTGTGTGTGTGTGTGTGTGTGTGTGTGTGTGTGTGTGTGTGTGTGTGTGTGTGTGTGTGTGTGTGTGTGTGTGTGTGTGTGTGCTACGCCTGGGGCACGGTGGGTGGTGTTCAACGCATGGCTGACAGTTTGCCACGTGGTATACCTTGATAACAGTCACTCAAGTCTAGAATCCTACATACTACGACATACACACACACGCACACACACACACACGCGCACACACGCACACACACGCAGCAGCAGCAGCTCATACCAAGTGAGAATCAACTCGACGTACATGCATGAGCGAGCGTGTGAGTACTAGCTCCACGGAGTGTGGCCAAGCACGCAGAGGTCAGAGCCAGACCGGCAGGCACTGACCGTGGTGGCGGCGGGATGGCATGCGGCACAGCACAGCACATCCTTTTACCGGGCGGGGGGATGTGTAGTTTGAAACGCAATCCAATCCACCGCATACAAAAAAGATACATACTATTAAGGGCAGTCAACACTAGAGTGGTAAGTTTACTACTTCAGCAGCAGATCTGCTGCTCAGAGGTCGACCTCTTCGTCATCGGCAGCCTCGTCAGCGACGGCAAGTCGCTTGTACTGCACCGACGGTGTCCAGCCAGTACCCAGACGTCGGTAAACCAGCATGACAATAGATGACGGCAAGGAAGGCCACGATGCCGGCAACAACTACGGCAACAGCTCGGGCTGCCACATTGCGAGACGTGTGTGCTTGGTCAGTTCCACCACCAACACCACCCGGCCGCTTTGCTCGCATTCTCACGTCTTCGTCGTCGGGCCGAGCAGTCGGCTGCACGCCCTGTCGATTGCGATGAACCACCTCAACAACCTGGCTGCTGCCGTGCGTCGAGGACTCGGATGTCGACGATGGTGCGGTGGAGAAGGAGCCGGGTGAGCATGTCAGAGCACTGTCGTCTGGTGAGCAAGCACAGCACGGCGGAGTGGTGCTGATGGCCGAGACGGTACAGCACGGATAGCAGCGACCGTCGACGGGCGATTTGCGATGCGTCACGGCACACCTGTCGCACACAACAGCGCCGCCGTCATTACTGCACTGCTCACAGTTATCAGCACAGGGCAAGCATCGGCCAATCTTCTTATCCAGATAGTGAGATGATCCACAGGACGTAGGAACCTCCAGACACACGCCGTTGACCAGCTTCTGAGAGGCGCGGCAGGAAACGCACTTTGTTGCAGTACCAGCGCAGGCCTTGCACGACGCGTGGCACCTTCCACAGCTGCCGTCCTGGCGAGAGTACCAGCCATTGGGCAGCACAGCTTTACACTGGACGCAGTCACTCTCACCCGGACCTGCGCACGTCAAGCACAGTGAATTGCACCTGTGACATGCACCCCCGTCACGGTGTATGTACTCACCGCTTGGACACTCGGCCCTGCACAGCCCGTCCGCGTGGCGGAACAGGCCGGCGATGCAGGTGCGACACACCGAGGGCCCGCTGCACGTCGCACAGCCGGCATGGCACTTGCGACAGCGAGCCCCCGTTGCCGACTCCGGGTAGAAGCGTGGCGGGCACTCCAGCAGGCACTGACCGTGATGTACCCAGCGCTGGCCCTGGCACCGGGTACACTTGCCGGACTGCGAGCAAGTTGAGCAGCCAGGCGGGCACGCGATGCAGCGCTGCGCCGAGACGTCCAACACCTCGCCGGCATTGCACTCGCTCACACAGGTCTTGCTACCGGCGGCCAGAGCAAAGCCGGTCTTGCACGTAGTACACACACCGGCCGACTCACAGTGCAGATAGCGGGCATTACACGCAGTGCACACAGCGGCCCTCAACTTGACGCCACCAACCGCCGCCACCGCCTGCGGAAAGAAGCCATCATCGCACGTCGATAAACACGAGCCGGACTGCAGCACGGACGGTCGGTGACATGCCGTACAGGAGTCTGGACTGTCGGACACGCACGCTGCACATGACGAGTGACACGTGGAGCAGATGTTACGGCCGTAGGCAAACTGGCCGGCGGGACACGTGGCCACACAGTGCCCCTCCAGCAGATAGCGATTGGGCAGCTGACAGTCCAAGCACTGGTCTGCCGAGCGAGGGCACAAGCGGCACGACGCGTCCACACACTTGACGCACACGCTGTTGACGCGCGCATTGCCATGCGCTGGACAGCCCTGCACGCATTCGCCGGCCAGACGCACCTTGCCCGGCGCGCATGCGGCACAGTTACGCTTGCACTCCACGCACATGCCACGCAAGTCCTCCACAAACCCACTCAGGCATGCATCAAGGCACTGCGCGTGCATCAGGGACTTTCCCGTTGGACAGGCCGTGCACTGCTCGGCTGATCCATTGCATTCGGCGCACACCGTGCTGCATGGGATACAGTGTGTGGCATTAGCGTACTGACCTTGCCTACACGTGGACGACACACAGCCGTACAGCATGTCCACTTTGTAGCCGGACTCGCTACAGCGCGCGCAGTCGTTAGCGCCGGGACCTCTGCAGAGGGCACAGGACGGATCGCACGCCACGCACACACCGCCCTTTGACTGGGCAAACGTTTCCTGCGGGCACCCGCGCAGGCACACGCTGCCATGCAGCAGCAGCGACGGCTGACAGCTGGAGCAGGAGTCAGCCGCCGTGGTACATGATTTACACTCGCTGGCACACGGCTGGCATTCGCGTGCACCTTCAGATCCAAAGTAACCGGCTGGGCAGGAGGCTACGCATGACACGGAGCCAGCCACAGTCAAACGCAACATGTCCTCAGAGCACATAGCACAGGACTGCGCATCGTTAGTGCAATCTACACAGCCAGGGACAGAGCAGCGCTGACATGTCTTGCCCAAGCCATCAACAGCATATCCATCTGGGCACTGGTCAGCACATTGACCACTAGCCAACAGCACACGGCCACCATCACACGAACTGCACGCGCCCGCAGACTCCGTACAGGCCGCACACAGCAGTTCAGCGTTGCACGGTTCGCAACGGTGCAAGCTGCCGCTTGTGTCGGCACGGAAGCCTGGCGGACAGGAGGTCACGCAGCCGGAACCTCTGGAGCCAGGCAAGATTAGAGTGGAGGGCTTGCATAGGGTACAGGTCATGTCGGCACGACATTGCAAACAGGACACAGGGCATACCTTGCACACGCTGTCCACGGCGACAGATCCGGAAGGGCTTTGTGTCAAGCACGTGCCATTCGTCCAGAGTACCTTTGGCAATTGGGCGACTTGCAAGCCGTGCAGATGTCGTTGGTTCGCCCGCAGCCGTTGCAATCGTCGCTGCACGCCACGCACAGATCATGACCTTCTTGCACGGACGCCAGCGTGGGACAGCTCACCCAGCACTGATCCTGCCAGAGCTTAGAGCCAGTCAGGCACACGGCACACTGAGACGGGCTGGCACAGCGCTCACAGAGCGGGCCGCACGCCACGCACGAGCCGGCCTCTTCCGAGTAGATCTGGCCGTTGGTGCACTGCACCTGCACCACGCACCGGCCGCCCTGGACACTATAGCCGGGGCTGCAGCTCTTGCAACCATGACCATCACTGCCACACTCCCAGCAGTTCTTAGTAGTAGTAGTAGTAGTAGTAGTTTTTATTATTTTACTAGGGGAGTCCCAACAGGCTGCTGCCTTTTTACTGGGAACCCTAGGTGAAGTTTAACCATATTAATGAACAGAGCAAGAGTGTCGGCCTGTCGACAGTCAGCTGGAAGGGAGTTCCACCTGCCTGCCGCCAGAAAAGAAATAGAGCGCATGCCATACTGCGTATAAACGAGTGGGAGAACTAAGGCTCTTTGTGCCTTGCCCCGGGTGCATGCCTGGTGACCAGGTGCAGTTGCCCGAAGCTGGTACAAAGACTGAAGAAGAGGACTAGCAAGATGCTGGGCCAAGCAGCGGTACACAAAAACATAGAGCTTGGGGCTAATACGCTGTTCCAAAGAATAGAGGTGATATAAGCGAAGAACTAGTTCAGTGGGCGTGGTACGATCGAGTCCAAACACTCTCTTCATTGCTATGTGACTAACGGTCACAATCCTATTGTACAGAGTTGTGCTTAAATCCTATTGTACAGAGTTGTGCTTAAACAATGTAGGTAAGCATTACTGGCATAGTCTAGGGTAGACTGAATAATAGACAAGTAGAATGTTCGCTTTGCATCATTTGTTAAATTTCTACGGCCATGTCGGAAAGCAGCAACTTTAGCAAAAACCGAGTTACACAATTTATGGACCTGTGGCTGGAAGGTGAGATGCTCGTCTTCAGCAGTTCTTCATGGCACACTTGCGACATGTGATCTCCTGCTTGTAGAAGCCAGGCGGGCAGCTGTCATACGGCACACAGTCAAACGCGTTGTCGTCCAGGAACACGGTCATCTCCTGACAGCTGTGGCAGTCCTTGGAGGACAAGCCCACACAGCCGTCATGGCACTGGGTATGACAATCGGACATCTCCGGTAGGCGGGTGAACGCAGGCGCGTCGTACGTACCGTGAATCTCCAGCTGGATGCTGGTGACTTTGACGTTGGCCTGCGCGTCCACGGTGAACTTCCACTGGCCGTGCGGATTCTCCCCCCAGCTGCGCACGGTCAGGAAACGCCAATTGTCAAATCCCGTGGTGTGAAAGTCCTTACGACGGTACGGTAGCAGTTCAGAGTACGTGCCCTGCGGTGATGTCAGGCCAAACTTAAGTCCACCACGTCGACTGCCGCCCACGCTGATGATAGCAATGACGTTTTCGGCGTAGCGCACCTCGTTTGCCGTGCCCTGGCAGGCCCTCGCCTCTATGGTGAACGTGCCGGGCTTGGTCCTGGTGTGTGCGTGGGTGGGTACAATGCAACCCAGACGTGCACACACAAATAAACACACATGCACACACGTGCACACACAGACAGACATGCACACACATGCACACAAATAAACACACGCGCGCGCAAACACACGCGCGCGCGCGCGCACACACACCACAACCCAGGACAAGAGAACATTAGTGAAAACAACAAGGAAATTCCAAAATGTTTTAGCTATCATTAACACACTGATGTAGATACCCCCACTGACATTGGACAGTCTAACACACAAACGTGGCCATGTCTATAAACCAAACCGGATATCTGTCCAACCAGGCCTGGTCTTTTCACCTAGACATTGCCCAATGGATAAAAGAACAGTTCATATTGAGAGCGTGTTGTTTGGGTTATTGAAGCTCGCACTTTCCTGCCACTTGATGCAGTGCACAGTGGCTTGTACAACAGTACTCGCAGGTAACCTATGACTTCACTTTTCGCAAGCCGACAATAATTGATTTGTGTTTCGCCCAGAGCAAGCACAGCATGGTGGACTTTATGTTCTTACTCAAAGCAAGAACATGACACCGGTATGGATTCAGAACATGCACGGGCCATTCCTCACTTATACTATAATCCCAGTGTAGACATGAACAGGGTACTTGCTAGGTGCACTGGTCAACAAATATTCGGCGCATACTTATTTTCGGCCTGGTCATGCATGTTTGGCCGAAAAATTTGTTGCGGCCGAAATTTTGTTTTGCAAGATTCAGTGTGACAGTGTATACAGGCGGCAGCAGTACAGGCCGAAAATCTGATGCGGCCGAAATGTGTTTTAGCCCTGGGAGGCCGAAATGTGTTTTAGCCCTGGGAGGCCGAAATGTGTTTTAGCCCTGGGAGGCCGAAATGTGTTTTAGCCCTGGGAGGCCGAAATGTGTTTTAGCCCTGGGAAGCCGAAATGTGTTTTAGCCCTGGGAAGCCGAAATGTGTTTTAGCCCTGGGAAGCCGAAATGTGTTTTAGCCCTGGGAAGCCGAAATGTGTTTTAGCCCTGGGAGGCCGAAATGTTTTTTAGCCCTGGGAAGCCGAAATGTGTTTTAGCCCTGGGAAGCCGAAATGTGTTTTAGCCCTGGGAAGCCGAAATGTGTTTTAGCCCTGGGAGGCCGAAATGTGTTTTAGCCCTGGGAAGCCGAAATGTGTTTTAGCCCTGGGAGGCCGAAATGTGTTTTAGCCCTGGGAGGCCGAAATGTGTTTTAGCCCTGGGAGGCCGAAATGTGTTTTAGCCCTGGGAGGCCGAAATGTGTTTTAGCCCTGGGAGGCCGAAATGTGTTTTTGCCCTGGGAGGCCGAAATGTGTTTTAGCCCTGGGAGGCCGAAATGTGTTTTAGCCCTGGGAGGCCGAAATGTGTTTTAGCCCTGGGAGGCCGAAATGTGTTTTAGCCCTGGGAGGCCGAAATGTGTTTTAGCCCTGGGAGGCCGAAATGTGTTTTAGCCCTGGGAGGCCGAAATGTGTTTTAGCCCTGGGAGGCCGAAATGTGTTTTAGCCCTGGGAGGCCGAAATGTGTTTTAGCCCTGGGAGGCCGAAATGTGTTTTAGCCCTGGGAGGCCGAAATGTGTTTTAGCCCTGGGAGGCCGAAATGTGTTTTAGCCCTGGGAGGCCGAAATGTGTTTTAGCCCTGGGAGGCCGAAATGTGTTTTAGCCCTGGGAGGCCGAAATGTGTTTTAGCCCTGGGAGGCCGAAATGTGTTTTAGCCCTGGGAGGCCGAAAGTTGAATGGGCCGAACATTTTCAGACTTACAGTATAGGAAGTGCAAGAGGAACTGACACAGGCACATCTTGTAACAGGTGCACTACTTCGAAGTACTCCGATCCCGTGCAACTCCAGCTCTTTAATTTAAGATCCAGTGAGGAGCAGTGGTGTGGAGCCCTCGAGCTGACACATTTTACTGCGGGTTTCGTAATTTCGAATTCAGAATAATAATGTTCTGAAGAGAGACAGTTGTTCTTAGTCCATACCACTGCACTATGTGCGTCTACTAGTCACCAGTGACTCTGAGCTCCACTGATGAGATCCAACAACAGTCAACACAGCTACAGTGCTGCTCAATGAAATCCAGTCGCGAGAGTCAAGTTTGCGCCGTGCACCTTTTCGCAGCCCAGTGTTTGCAGGTCTAGGGCTGCGCAACGCCCGGCGTGGCATACTTGAGAAACTCAACTGGATTTCATTGTTCAGTACTGAACGTGCAGCTGTAAAGAGAATGAGATGATGATGATGAGTCTGCACTTGAACTATGAATTTAGACTTTGGCTCCGTGCTTTAGAGTAAAACCGCTCATGTTCAAAGTGAGCCAGCGATGGATTAGTTGCATCACCAGCACATGCACTGTTGCAGTTGCTAACCCTCCTAGTACGCACACACAGTGACCACAGTAAGTGACCATCACTATAACATACTTACTGGTCAATATTCGTAGTGTGTTCCAGGCATGAGCGCATGTCCGGTACACGTCTCCAGTGTCTGGCTAGGTTCACCATGGCCGCAGTGTGCATGAGACCAAAGCCAAACTCATGACTGTGCGTGTGACCCGCCGCGTTGCGTGTCCAGATGTTGGGCTGGTAGTTGACGGCGTCCGGCGGGTGCGGCTGCGACGTGAGTACTACGATGTGCTGCACGTCACGCCATGTTAGCTTGGGACTGCACATAGTGGTGGTGATGGTGGCCAGGACATAGCACATACACATACACACACACACACACACACACAGCACATAGCAGAGAAAGCAGAACAATAATGAGCCACAGCAGATACGATGCAATAGCATCTTGGAGAGCAAACGCAACAGAATTCGTCACCACTGAAACATCGGAGACAGACACACAGATGAAGAGAAAGTTGAGAATGCTGTTGGTAAGCCATCTCCAGAAATAAGGATGGTCTGGTATCAGGCAACAAGCACCTCACGGACAGGAGCAACATTCAACTGCAAGACAGCAAATGATTGAGACCTACGCAAATACAGGTTCAATACTGCTCAATGACATACCGATCAAGTGAGAGTGAATTGCGCCCTGTACCAGCAGAACATGGCGTGTTTCCAGGTCTAGGGCTACACAACGTCCCGTGTGGCATTTACTCACTGCTGGATCAGATTTCATTGAGCAGCAGTGTACAGTCAACTTTGCTTATAACGACACTCTGCGGGGCATCAGAAAAGTGCCCTTATTCGCGAAGTGTCCTTATACCCGAAGTCTCATTATATGTATTACAGTTAGATGGGACTTTGCTCTGGGCATGGAAATTCTGTCGTTATTCGCGAATTGTCGTTATATTCGCCGTCGTTATTAGCGAAGTTGACTGTAGTTATGACCTGACCGATACGGAACAACAAACAAACAACAACAGCACGACCGTATGATAACTTACTTAGCTTCCAAGACCAGAGCCAGAAGTCCAGCAGCCATGGGTGCAGCGGCAGATGTGCCGGTGTGGGCTGACGTACAGCCATCGTTTAAATCTACCGTCACCTGAGCACAACAGTGCACACACACACGCGCACACACACACACGCACACACACACACATGTACACATGTACACAGGACAGCAAACCGTGATGAGTACATACGACAGCCGTTGTGTGCATCAAGGAGTCGTTCTCGTAACATCTACATAGGCCATACGGAAGACTTTACAGGGGACTGGAACTTGAAACGATGCGGAGGTGAAACCCCCTCATCGTTTCAAGTTCCAGTTACCTTTGGGGTATGCCGGCCGATTTACACACATACACTCGCATAATGGTATCCCTGGTTGGGAGCACGCTTGTGGCCCCCGCAGGTCTAGGTCTCAATCAAGATCATGGCTTGCATAGACCACAGCAAACGTAGGAATTCTGAATCGGGGGTGGAAACAAAAAACTTTATCTTGGGGGTACTATGGTCTTGTTTCCACTCCATGGTGGACAGTGCAGCATGTAACGCATCAGAAGAGTACCGTACTGGGATAGCATAGTCAATAAGCAACATTGGGCAACATCCAATGGTGCAAGCAACAGTACCAGCTGGCAATTTATACAAGCATACATGAATCTGCATACTCTCGCACACACACACACACACACAGCAGATACACACACACAGCAGATACACACACACACAGCACACACAAACACCCACACACCCACACACCTACACACACACACACACGTGTACAAGTACACACACACAGCAGACACACTTACAATTTTCCTTTCTCCCTGTGACTTCTTTCCACTACTGTATGTACTGGCCAGAGTACTTGAGCAATGTTCAGAATACCAGGGTGATGCACCATGTTCCGACATGGCACTCACACTGATAGAGTAGATTGTGTTTGTGTAGCCATCACAACCACAACTATCACCTGAATATAGGCATCAGCACAAACAACACGTCGCACATGCAGACACACACACACACACAAGACACACACACACACACACACACACACACACACACAAGAGACACACAACATGTTTGCTGCGACAAATGGAACCGTGGTGCACTCTCCTACTATCCTGCATGTATTGTCACCACCTGTCCTTGCTTTATCCACGGCCAGCTCTCCGTAAATGACATCCCGCCAGCAGCAGTAAGTTGTTTGTTTTTATTTTACTTCACAAGATACACAGGCATTTCTTTTTTTCTGTTTTTATTTGTTTTGTTTTTCTGCCTTACCAGCTATAAAGCATACAGCTAGACTCTCACTAAAACATGAACAAGTCATCCGTAGCAGCAGCAGCAACGACACTGGCATCACAAGTATTACAACAAGCCTGGAGATGCACAGCCCAGGCAAGGTGAATACTAAAGAAGAACTGATCTCCGCAGCAAACACAACAACTCTGCTACACATGTATTAACAAGGGCAGATTTCACCTGCTGCCAGTTACAATACCAGTACTCAAAACTGTCAAAAGAATTAGGGAAACACCACGAACCTTTCGATCCGCCATTGCCAGATGCCCAGACAAAGATGGACCCTAAGCCTCCACGTCCCTACAGACAACAAACAGACACAGTGGAAGCAGGACAGAATCCAGTGCAATACTCATTGGTTTGGCAAACATACACGCTGTTGTGTTTCGCTCTACGTGATTTCTCGACAACTGCTAATCATGCTGTGTTACGATGAAGACGCATCCACCGTTCCAAGAGTGTGTACAGCAGCTTAGATTTCCACACGTTACAGGGAAGGTGCATGCAATGCTCAATCTCACTTTTTATTCCACGAGTCTATCCTCCCCCCCCCCCCCCCCCCCCGCGTAAATGCACATATGCATCCCATAAACACGTTCCCGTACATATGCACATACACATTCCTGCACACATACTGTACAACCAGAACATTTCGTCGGTCAATAATTTCGCCCAACTCCAAAGAAAGGGATTTCGTCCGGTTGAAAATTTAGTCTCTGGACCATATTAAAGAGTGAATTGAAAAGCAGGACAAAATCGACATTAGTCCAACATTTGATTAAAGGGGAAAAAGGGGGAAAAAAGGGGGAAGGTCACTGTGCCTGCAGGGTACAACTTACTAGCCTGTTTGACCTTTTTTGGGTGCAGTCCTGTCACTCGAGTTGAACCTTGGTGTGAAAGTTGTCGCCTGCTGGCGTGGTGACCAGGTGATTTGGGCACCCAGGAGCACGTGACCGCTTGTTCAACCATGTTCGATTGGGAATAAAGGAGGAGCGCTGCATCGCAGCCTTTTCGGACCAAACCAGTCGACTCAGCGTCCAAAAGACTACAACATATGGGCCAATCGCGGTCATCCGTGCTTTTATAAGAACGAAATGGCGCTTTAAGTGACATTTTGCATACAAATCCCCATCTAGTAGGGCACAGTCACCCAGTTTCGGTGGAAGTGCGCGAGTTCGATTGGGATTCAAGTAGGAAGGGAGCGTCTCAGCTTCCTCGGACCACGACCATTCGACTCAGCACCCCGAAGACTACAACTGGTGAAATTTTAATTTTGCCTTAACTTCCCCTTTAAGTCCAAACGTTCTTTGGACGAAAAAGACGAAATTAAATTCCAGACGAATATTTCTGCTTATACAGTACCGTATTTTCCGGAATATCCCGTCCGCCCTTTTCCATTCACCCTTTCTCGCTCTCCCTTCCCCTTCCTTGTGAGATGGGATGTATTCCTTTACCCCTATCCCTAGTCTCTCTCTCCCTCTCCCTCTCCCTCTCCCCATCCCCCTTTTCGACGACTGCTAGATGTACCTAGTTGCGCTGGACACGCGTCAACCGCATCTGCAGACGCTTTTAAAACTGTGCAACCACCTGGATTGCCACATGAAGGCAATTGTCGATCTCACTTTTTCATCTCCTTTCAAGAAGAAAGCATGGCGAATCCAGTAGACGAGTGGGACGCTGTACTGATGGTACTCAGTGTTGCCACATCATTATAGCCAAATATCAGTAGGATAAAAAACAAAATGCATCATCCGGGGGCTTCGCCCCCGGACCCCCTCCTCTATATAGTGACCTCAATACCCACACACGCGCGCGCACGGCACTGATAAGAAAAAATAAACTTTTTTGCATGAGACTCAGGCTGCGTTTGCCGATTTTTCCCGAGACAGATGATGATTTCGCTTAGCCCCTTAGGAGAGAGCTATGGAAACACGCGTAATGAGCAGTAAGAGCCAAAAATCTGGATCATGACTTCTAAACCACGCATAAGGTCGAACTTGGACACTTTCATGGCTGTTGTCGGCAGGAGAAGGTCAATTGTCGGCAGGTCATGACATGCCTCAAAAATCGGCAGGCTACTGACATGTCGGCAGGTGTGGCAACACAGGGTACTGGAAGCTGTTTTGTTGGACGGCATGGACGGTGATATCGAGCTGGCTCATGGCCTCATCCAGCTGCTGACTGAGCTGAACGAGGAGGAGGAAGAACGTCCTGAGCGGCATCGGTTTGATTCGAATGACCCCAAGTGGACGGCAGAACACTGGAGAACATCATTTCGTTTTGCTAAACAAGATATGGATCGCCTGTGCGCAGCTCTCCAAATGCCACAGGAAATGAGGAGTTCCTGCAGGAAGAAACGGTCGGGGTTCGACGGGTTTTGCCTTGTGTTGTACCGTCTTGCATACCCCTGTCGCCTCTCGACTTTAGAGGATGTATATGGCCGTCCAAAGAGTGAACTCTCTGTTATGTTCAACTTCACTGTAAAGTATATTTCTGAGACTTGGGGCGAGTTGCTACACAACCTTAGCACTCCATGGTTGACACCAGAGAGAGGGGAGGAGTATGCCAGGAATATGCACAGAAAGGATGCGCCGCCAACAAAAGTCTGGGGGTTTATAGGCGGCACCGTTCGACCCATGCGCCGGCCCAATCAAGGACAGTGGCTGTTTTATAATGGCCACAAGCGTGTACACGTTTCAAAGTTCCAGTCGGCGGTCACCCTGACTGGCATGATCGCCAACCTGTATGGCCCAGTAAACGGCTGGCACCGTGACATGTTCTTGCTGGCGGAATCTGGTTTACTGGAGCAACGGGAAGAGCGCATGCACCGTCCAAAACTCCCCACTGGGCTCATCACCTATCTCTAGTCTGTATGTTGATGTGGAGTAACCCTTGCCAGCCGTTCTGATAGGGCCGTTTAGAGGTGCCCACCTCACTGCAGAGGAGAACAGGTTTAACTCGAGACCGAGCCAGGCACGAGTTGCTGTGGAGTGGGAGTTTGGTAAACTTCTACAACAGTTTGCTTTCGTCGATTGCAAAAAACCCTCCAGGTTCTTTTGATGCCCATCGGCACAATGTCCACCGTGCGTGCATTGCTGGCCAATTGCCACAAGTGTCTGCACGGCAGTCAGACAGCAACGTTCTTCAGCTCTGAAGATCCTGTGCAAGCTCCCACCCTGGAGTGGAGGAGTACTTGCACTTTTACAAGTGAATCTATGCACATGAACGTACACGTACATACCACCCCCCCCCCCCCCCACACACACACACAGAGCGCTTCCCTACAGAAACCAGGAGAGAGATTAACGTGTAGAAGTTGCCCTCCTCGTTTCCCTGCGCGTGCGACATACGAATTTTCATACATAATTATGTACAGCGACCCCCCCCCCCCCACACACACAATATTTGTCATGCCGGATGAAGTAATCTCATTTCAATTATGGGCTCCATGCCAAACAAACCAAACCACGTTTATCCACGGGGAGACCTACTTTTTCAGTGCCCTGCTTGAACGCAGCCTGTGCTAAGCGTGCTGGACCATCCACAGTTTGCCCATCATCGTCCGGTCCCCAGCTACTGCTGTAGATATCGATATGCTGCGGGTGAAAGCTCAGCGAGTGGCCCTCCACTATGTCCGTCACTGGGCCGTCCATCATACGAACACCTGGACGATGACCAGCACAAAACAACAACACAACAGTACTGTCGGGTAGCGCCGAAAAACGACCAGGCTAGAATTTCAGCAAGCACAGCATACCAATGTACATGTATACCCGGTGACTCACACTACCGTGCATAGACTGTAGTACATGGCAATAAGAACGGTCTTGGCTAGGAGGCTGACCTCCCCCAGTTCTTAGGAGACCGACAGTATTGTAGCAGCCCCCGCACAGTCATGGTGTGAGCAAGAACACATGGAAGTAATGGGCGGGTTTGATTACACACGATTCAGACCCTTCTGGAACTTCCCATCATGCATACACGCAGATTTCTCCGTCAGAATCCAAGGAATTCAATTCGGCCCGTTCCGAAGTGAAGGTAGAAGTTCTAATTCTCCTGCCAGGATTTACGCATTAGGCGTGCATGTACGCGTTGTTGACACCAAGGGTGCCTGTTGCACGTGTGGGCAATCATCGGATTTCAGTGCCCACGACAGTACATATTTAGTCATGGGACAAAGATGTGAAACAGAATGCAGTACAAGATACCAATCTACAAGGGCACCTGTACTACCTACAGGCAACAGTAACCAATGGTTACAAGATGGAAGTAGAGGGCAAAGGAGTAAGCCACTCACCACCGATGGAGCTGTTGTATGCTGCACCAACCACACAGACGTCATTCAAACCTGCAGATGCCTCGCCAGCACAGCGAGTTCCGTGCCTGTTCGACAACGGGATAGAACCACCGTGAGCGCATGCACGCACATACACACGCGTGTGCGCAAACACACACACACACACAAACACGCGCGCGCACACACACACACACACACACACACACACACACACACACACACAAACACACACAAACACACACGCACGCACAAACATACTCAAACACACACGCACGCACAAACACACACACACACACACACGCATTATTACCAATACCCTTCCGTACACAACGGAGTATGTGGTCAGAATGGCATCATTATAAGTTTATAACGGCGCATAAAGATATATTTCAGGAAGGCAGGTGGAAAGGAGAATGTCCCTGAGCAGCTATCACGTTCATTCCCTACAACAGCAACAAGAGGTTCCTTCGGTGTACTGAAAATAGTTCATCTATTACGGTTTCGGAAATACGGCAGATCTCACATACATCGAAACACAACATGTGCTACACTCACTTGTTCTCATACGATGGTCGTGGCATAGGGTCTGGATCGTTGTCGTTGTAGTCGTAACTTGCCTCTGGATCCTGCAATGACGGGGGGGGGGGGGGCACACACATGCACATACACACGCACATGCACGCACACACACACACACACACACACACACACACACACACACACATACACACACACACAAGTACGTAGTGGATAAGATATCGAAAGCACTAAAGAATGATCATTTAGCAAGTTAGCAAGCACATACGGTACAACTTACTACAGGTGCTGGCAGGTTTCGCAATCCCACAACAGCATACTGTAAGTCGACAAATTTCCGGCACATTCAAATTTCGGCCTCCCACGGCTAAAACACATTTTGGCCTAGCACGGCTAAAACACATTTTGGCCTCCCACGGCTAAAACACATTTTGGCCTCCCACGGCTAAAACACATTTTGGCCTCCCACGGCTAAAACACATTTTGGCCTCCCACGGCTAATGGTGTACTAGCTGTGCTAGTACTTGTTAGCAACAATCCGAACTAGCGCACACACTGCACTGCATTGCTTTGTACTGCATTCAAGACTGACGTCATGCGCTTTGTTTTGCTGCGTAATCACAAATGGCACCGGCCAGCCCATTTTGCGGAAAAGAAAAACAAATCTTGCTTGCCCTGTTGTGCTCTTCCAGACAACGGATCGTGCTTCAGCAGTGTTTCTTTTCCTTTCGTAGCTTTGCTGCCAGCCCGAGTGTCACCTCGACACTGTATTTCTTCAGTATGTCTGACCTAACTGTCGACACTGTCAAGGCAATGCCTTGCCAAGCCCCCGCGGCGAGCCTTCTCAGCGCGGCTTGAATCCGAAAGGAAACTTAGTAAAAGTATTTTACAGGACCGTTTGCTGGCACAACTAGCCCTTGGTAGTGAGGTCTGCTCCGGCCAGGAGAACCAGCAACATGACAGTGCGGACACGGCTCGCGAGCCCAGAAGCGTTAAGCCCGACTTGCACCAATGCCTCCTCCGCCAGCTCAGGTGACGCGGGCTCAACATGGGATCTGCGCTCCCGTAGATCTACGTGACGAGGTGTAGTCGGCTTTGTCGGCCGCCATTTTATTATTATCGGAGAGCATTGTGCCGCTCCTCACCCAAGGCCAAGGCAATGCGGCTGCTGCCGCCACTACGCCAGGCCAAGCCCTTGTAACCCACCCGATCAGCCACCTGCACCAGCTGTGCCCAAGGCTGTGCAAGAACGTATCTTGCGAGGGGAGTTCGTAGATTTTTCAAGTTGGTTGCCTGAAATTCTTGCACACTTCCGGCCCAACATTCCGGCTGGTGCACAGCCCGAATAACGATAGCCAGCTAAATATCGTTGAGTCGGATGACCGTACGCGAAGCAGGTGCGTCGCAAGGTTCACGATAATTATACATGTAACTACCCGGCTCGAGGCATGGACCACATACATGTCTGTTATCACGGCTGCTGCCCTACACCGCACTGCTGAACTGCTGAACTGATTGCGTACCAGCAGTTGATCCTGACTGCTAACCGCCAGTTCTTCCCAAGCGCGTGGCTAGAGTACGACCGCCAGCTGCGGCTGCTCGTGGCCCAGTAACCAGGCACGAAGATGTTGGACACCATCGACGTGAACCTATGGCAGATAGCTGTCACAGGCCATGCACACCCAAAATGCGCTCAATGTAAGACGGCCCATCCAGGGGCGGTTTGTGTCCTTTTCGTCCCCAAGCCAGCAGCATTTACCTCCAGTGGTCGCAACCATACCAGCGACAGCCAAGAAATCTGCCGCAACTTCAATGGAGGTCGCTGTTCTTCGTCGTCGTGCCGCTTCTCCCACACCTGCAGCCAGTGTGGCAAGGACCACCCATGCATCATGTGCAACCAGCAGCAGCGCGGAGCCAATCGGCCACCCCGCCGCTCCTAGCAGAATGGCTACTGAATAGCTTGACTCGGTACGTAGCTTCTTTCCTATACACTCTGCAGACACCACACTGCTAGCTGACCACTTTGCCCGCCTGTTACGTAACCACTCATATCAATAATGCGTTGCGTATGTTCTCCATGGGCTGCGCCGTGGCTTTACTCTTGGATCTGCCGGCCAACACGACATTTCGGTTTTCTCTAATAATCTACCCTTGGCTTTCACTCACTCGGCATTTATATCCGAGCAATTAGCTGCTTCCTGCGCCCGCAGCGAGACCACAGGCCCATTTCCGTCACCTCCATTTCAGTTCATGCGCCGCTCTGGTATTGGTGCCATCCCCAAAAAGAACGGCAAGCTGCGAATGATCCACCATCTGTCTAGTCCGGAAGGCACCGGCGCGAACGACAGCATTCCTGCCGAGCCGCTCTCTCTGCACTACGCGAGCATTGACAACGCGATCAACATCATCATGTCATGCCCACAGCCTGTGTATTTGTCCAAGCTCGATGTACGCAGTGCATTTCGGCAGATCCCAGTCCGCCGTCAGGACTTCGCTGGGAAGGCTCCTACTACTACGAGCGCTTTCTGCCTTTCGGCCTCCGCTCCAGCCCAGCCGTCTTTGACTCAGTAGCCACAGCAGTCAACTGGATCATGCAGCACGATTTTGCTATAGATCACCGGCTTCATTACCTCGATGACTTTCTCGATATCTCCACTGGTTTGGCTGCAGCCAACCAGCAACTCACCACCCCCCTCCGGGCATTCACGTATCTCGGCACTCCTCTTTGCTCCATCCCAGCTCGAGGGCCATCACCATCATTGACCTTGGTATTTTCCTAGACTGCGGCTACCAGAGGACAAGCTGTCCGAGATCCGTGCGCCACTCATGGCTACTATCAGCGAGCGCAGCATCGGCCAGCGTCAACTCGAGTCCCTCCTGGGGAAGCTCACTTTTGCTGCCCGAGTCATCGTTCCTGGACACACATTCATGCGTGAACTATGATCAGCGTGCCCTGAACTGTATCTGTGTATGCGAGTGCGGTGCATAAAGCCCACCTTGAGAATGGGTTTGCCGGCCCCTTAGTAGATGCGTGGCTTCTGGAGAGGGTGTTGAAGGGCATCCAGCGATGCCATGGTACGGCTGTACTCACCCCTCGCCTTCCTATAACTATGCCAATCCTACGACACCTCACGGATGCACGCCGGAAAAGTAGTATCCTGAATGGCCATGACAAGCTGCTCTACCAAGCCGCCATGCTGCTTCTTTGGATTTCTTCGGTGTGCTGAATTCACTAATGGCATCACACGGGGCTGTACTAGCTCCCCTGGTGACGGACGCTTGCAACTCTTCCTGCTTTCATCCAAGACGGACCCATTCGGTAAAGGCGTTACTAGTGACATTGGCCCGTCTGTACCGCCGTACTGCCCGGTCCGTGCCATTGTTAGCTACCCATTTGTCACTCGTCGCGAGGGACCAGAGCAACTCTTGTTCGTACTCTCGAACAGACAGCAGCTGACCAGGCAGTCATTCACAGTAACAGTATGGTCTCTTGTCGCTGCGGCCGGTGTACCATCCCAGTCGAACTACTCCGGGCATTCGGTCTACATTGGTGCAGCCACCACCGCTGCTATGGCTAGTGCCCCGACTCCTTCTTCCGAGTGGCAGGTCAGTGGAAAGAGCGATGCGTGTCTATGCTACATCCGGACTACAACAAGCGCTAAGCGCCAGCTATCGTCCCGGCTTGCTGCCGTGCCATGGATGCCATGATCCCCAACTCGGGTGAGTAATGAGCTACTGAACTCTAGCTGCGCAATGCTTGCCTGTGCTGACATAAATTGACCCTTGCTGTGCGTCAATAGTGCTTAGCTAACGGAGTGCTGGTTTCATGGGTCCACTCTCACAACTGGTGTTATCTAGCTATTTGCTGCGGCTCTGCCTTGCGCTATATTACATCCATTTAGCATTGCAGCTCTACGTTGAGCTAACAGCAGCTCTACTTTGAGCTAACAGCAGCTCTACTTTGAGCTAACAGCAGCTCTACTTTGAGCTAACAGCAGCTCTACTTTGAGCTAACCGCAGCTCTACTTTGAGCTAACAGCAGCTCTACTTTGAGCTAACCGCAGCTCTACTTTGAGCTAACCGCAGCTCTACTTTGAGCTAACAGCAGCTCTACTTTGAGCTAACAGCAGCTCTACCTTGAGCTAACAGCAGCTCTACTTTGAGCTAACAGCAGCTCTACTTTGAGCTAACCGCAGCTCTACTTTGAGCTAACCGCAGCTCTACTTTGAGCTAACAGCAGCTCTACTTTGAGCTAACCGCAGCTCTACTTTGAGCTAACAGCAGCTCTGCTCTGAGCTAACAGCAGCTCTGCTCTGAGCTAACACCAGCTCTACTTTGAGCTTCAAACCAGTTGTTTCGAAACCAGCACTCCTCAATCCAAAGATGCCTCTTTGTTGACTTGTTTGTGTGAGGGATGGGGCTAATGGTGTACTAGCTGTGCTAGTACTTGTTAGCAACAATCCGAACTAGCGCACACACTGCACTGCATTGCTTTGTACTGCATTCAAGACTGACGTCATGCGCTTTGTTTTGCTGCGTAATCACAAATGGCACCAGCCCATTTTGCGGAAAAGAAAAACAAATCTTGCTTGCCCTGTTGTGCTCTTCCAGACAACGGATCGTGCTTCAGCAGTGTTTCTTTTCCCACCATCCCTCCCTATCCAACTTATTCACACCATCATAATTATCGTACCCACTAATCGGGTCCACTCTCACAACTGGTGTTATCTAGCTATTTGCTGCGGCTCTGCCTTGCGCTATATTACATCCATTTAGCATTGCAGCTCTACGTTGAGCTAACAGCAGCTCTACTTTGAGCTAACAGCAGCTCTACTTTGAGCTAACAGCAGCTCCACTTTGAGCTAACAGCAGCTCTACTTTGAGCTAACCGCAGCTCTACTTTGAGCTAACAGCAGCTCTACTTTGAGCTAACCGCAGCTCTACTTTGAGCTAACCGCAGCTCTACTTTGAGCTAACAGCAGCTCTACTTTGAGCTAACAGCAGCTCTACCTTGAGCTAACAGCAGCTCTACTTTGAGCTAACAGCAGCTCTACTTTGAGCTAACCGCAGCTCTACTTTGAGCTAACCGCAGCTCTACTTTGAGCTAACAGCAGCTCTACTTTGAGCTAACCGCAGCTCTACTTTGAGCTAACAGCAGCTCTACTTTGAGCTAACAGCAGCTCTGCTCTGAGCTAACAGCAGCTCTGCTCTGAGCTAACACCAGCTCTACTTTGAGCTTCAAACCAGTTGTTTCGAAACCAGCACTTCTCAATCCAAAGATGCCTCTTTGTTGACTTGTTTGTGTGAGGGATGGGGCTAAAACACATTTTGGCCTCCCACGGCTAAAACACATTTTGGCCTCCCACGGCTAAAACACATTTTGGCCTCCCACGGCTAAAACACATTTTGGCCTCCCACGGCTAAAACACATTTCGGCCTCCCACGGCTAAAACACATTTCGGCCTCCCAGGGCTAAAACACATTTCGGCCTCCCACAGCTAAAACACATTTCGGCCTCCCAGGGCTAAAACACATTTCGGCCTCCCAGGGCTAAAACACATTTCGGCCTCCCAGGGCTAAAACACATTTCGGCCTCCCAGGGCTAAAACACATTTCGGCCTCCCAGGGCTAAAACACATTTCGGCCTCCACGGCTAAAACACATTTCGGCTGCAGCAATTTTCGGCCCGTACTGCTGCTGCCTATATACACCGTCACACTGAACCTTGCAAAACAAAATTTCCGCTGCAACAAATTTTCGGCCCAATACGATCAGGCCGAAAATAGCCGAAAATAAATATGCGCCGAATACGTGTGGACTGACAGTCGTTATTCGAGATGCAGTGCCACAGCACATGCAGTGCCACAAGTGCCACAGCACATGCAGTGCCACAGCACATGCAGTGCCACAGCACATGCAGTGCCACAGCACATGCAGTGCCACAGCACATGCAGTGCCACAGCACATGCAGCACATGCAGGCTGCAGTACTCACACAGTGCACACACTTACGTATTGATTCTTCAAGTCAGGATGCGTGTATTCAATGCCTGAACACGAGAACACATGGGCACACACACGCGCGCGCGCGCACACACACACACACGCACAGGAAGATAAAAACACGCGAACATACACAAACATCATGTCAGCACACGACGACCACTCGAGCTGGGAGGGAACAAAAAACCTGGGGGCTCGATGGCATAGAAATAGTTGATACTGGGTGATAGCCGAGGTAAGCCATGCACAGTACACCCATGCATTGGAGAACACCCAAGGTTAGAAGATCAAGTAGTTAGTACAGCAATGGATGCACTTTTCCACTGTGTGTGCCTAATCACACAGACGCTGGGTATGAGCGACGTCAACAATTTACGGCAACACAGAGAAAACCAGCGTACCGTCGTCGAGGATGCTAATGACAACACCACGCCCCGTGTAGCCACGGCGCCACACTGGCATAGGTTCCTGATAGCGACGAAACTGTCAACCACAAACAAGAGCCAAAACAGAACACAGGATACATTGGAGCAGACCAGGAGCTGAATAAGGCAACATGCAACAGACAAAACAGCTACCTTTTCATCTTTGTCTTCACGTGCTTTCACCAGCAGATGATGAGTTGAACAAAAAATTAAAGAGAGGTTCTGCAAAACGAAAAAGCGTACAAATGTTCGCCCTGCGTCAAGAAGGAAACTTCGCACTTAACTTTCGCAACTTCTGACGCGAAACTTGCAGGGAATGCGAAAAGAACTTTTGTGAGAAGGTTCGTGAGATCGGGCCAACGGGTTCACGGCGTACGTGCACTTGGGCGTGTGCAAACGTCCGATGCAAACATTCGCACACATTCCCGTAAGGCCCGTCGCGACACCAACGTGTTACTTCTAGGGCTGAGTCGGGTAGCATTTTCTTCGGGTATCGGGTCCGGGTAGTTTTCCACGGGTAGCACGGGTACCCGATCGGGTAATGTTTCCATGGCAAGACCACAATGCACACCGGCCCCTTCCCTTGCGCTTTGGGTAGACATGCGTGAATTATTTGTACACGTGCACTGTACATGATGTCATCTGTGACTTCGGGTTCTCGGGTACTATTCGGTACCCGACTACCCGAGGTCCTCACGGGTAGCACGGGTACCCGACTACCCGTGCACACCAGTAGTTGCTTCGTGCGCATTTTCGTTTTGCAGAACCTCTCTATGGACTCATTACGGCGGCTGGAATGGAACAACTTTTTGCAGGCCACTTTGACTGCTTGCTGCCATCCTAGTCACCACTGGTCAGTCCAAGCGTGGAACTTCAATCTTACTGGGGCCACCGTCATCGCCGGCTTCTTCATCATCTCTCTCCCCCTCCCGCAGCAATGCCCGGAGCCTCTCGCAAAACAGCGACCACAGTTACAGTATACAGTTCATAGCATACATGTTATGTACCACGCAGAGCGGAGGGCATCACATCACTCGAGCACGAAAATCAGGGGTTGGATTTCAGTTACCAGCAGTGCAGAATGTCATGGCTTTACTACGGCGGTACTCACATGGTACCACATCTGACTCCACATTGGGTCGCGAGGGTCATGGTACGGTTGCCCGTGGAGAGTGGCGTTCGCCGACAGCGGGACATCACGCTTCGGCAAGCCCCGTCTCCGTCTGCCGGGATGCTGTTGGTGGTGACGGTGATGGAGATGACGTGGAGCATGCTCCTGCGACGCTGTGCTTCGCTTTGACCGCTTCAACACCTTCTGCTGTTCGGCCCACCGCACCTGCAGCACAATGAGGACAAACCGAGCGAAGAACACAAAGGAATGATTGTACAGATCACAGACACAAATACACACGGAAACTCTTCAGAAGTGAGACCAAGCACAATGAACTTCCGACATTCACACAGTGCGTTACTAGCTAAACCACACTCATTACTGTCTCCAGCACAGTACTCAGCCAGGGCTAACAAAACTAGTTACCTGTTCACAGCTTGCATTCATGTAGCTATCTTGCTAGTTCCGATTTCTGAAGCAATGAGTGTTCAGTGCATGAATGAGTACTCTGATTTATTCCAGGTAAAAAAATAGGAGAAATGAAAAATTTATAACATCCCTATTCTTTTTTTGCCTAGGTCATCAAGGTGGTAGACGGTGTTGTATTACCCTCGAATGCAAAGAGAAAGTTGACTCTCGCTAGGCAAAAAGGCATAGCGTAGGGCCCTGAGCTTCCAAGCTCTCTCGTTTCAAGTACGATTATTCCCAAAAAACCGAGCGAGTGATCGAATGTTCGCTATAATGGTTTCACCCCTAGTTGACAAAACCAGGGAGTCGGGTCTATACGACTCCCTGACAAAACTAACAAAGATAATTAGATGACTACACGAATGCAAGCTGTGAACAGGTAACGGTGCATGCACGCACAGAGGTGAATTGCTCGCTTACCCCGGGGGCAATATGTATAGTGCCTCCGGGGCAAAGAGGACGAGCGGGGAAACCCTAACTGAACAAGCAGACCAAACTAACTTCCCTAGATACATGTCTATCACTGCTAGGAACGAGTGCCAGTCAAGCATCAGAACATGTATGCATGCTGAAAGGACACCGAGCATGGCATAGATGTTTATGAGCATGTGCACTATTAACACATACAGTCAACTTCGCGTATAACGACACTCGGCGGGGCATCAGAAAAGTGTCCTTATTCGCGAAGTGTCGTTATACCCGAAGTCCCATTATATGTATTACAGTAGGATGGGACTTTGCTCTGGGCATGGAAATTCTGTCGTTATTCGCGAATTGTCGTTATATCCGCAGTCGTTATTAGTGAAGTTGACTGTACACGAGCACATACAATAGTACATGAGCACATGCATACAACAGCACATACCTGAGCAAGCAAGTACACGAGCACATACATGTACATGTACACACACTTGAGATGTACATGAGCATGCATGCACAGTGATGCACAGACCAGTTACAGAGAATAGTAGTGCCACAGTGTGGCCTGGCATGCAACGTTCACCACTCGGCTTTTAAGGACGTGAACGGGACACGGTGTCGGAGAGCATTCAGGACTGACTTGGATCACTACCCCCCCCCCCCCCCCCCCACACACACACACACATGTACACATGCAGCCGAACAAACCTCAGTATGTCCATGCAGAACTGATGTCTTCTCGTGCGCATGTTCATGATGAACTTCTGGGTGATGCGGGTGAGCAAACGTATGGAAGTCATCCAACGTACCCACCTGGTGGTGAGAAACATACCGGGGAAAGAGTGCGCACGCACGCACGCACGCACACACACACACACACACACACACACACACACACACACGCACACACACGCACGCACACACACGCAAACACACACACACACGCATGCACGCACACACACACACATACATACACAAACACACCACACACACGCACGCACACACATAGAGTAAGAGGCTGAATTAGCAATGGAGAAATGCAGCATTAGAGACAGCAATACGAGAGCTTGTAACACAGATCACCGGCATACCCAGCTCACTCTCAGGCTCAATGTTAACAAACTACACATCCTAGAACTTCTTTCCAGTACTCTAGGGCTGAAGTTGGATGACAAGGCAATAGTGGAACATGGAAACTTGGAAAGTATGGGCTGTTTCCCCCTGCTCCCCCCCCCCCCTCATACAATTTCCCCTCACCATACAATTTTTCTGGCTAGAACCCTGTAAACATCTTGTGTACTTCAGATGGCAGGAAGTGCAAGCTCCAATGTCGAGAGCAACTAAGTTCTTTTACTTGGAGGTAGGAGTACTACTCCCGAAGACACACCATCTGAGTGCGTCCAGTAAGATATGTTCTCAAGTGGAAAATTAACGCTATTTCAAAATTCTCATCAATGAGAACTGAACATACATTGTACAGGTACAGCTGTATGCTGTCTGTAATCCAATATGGGCATGGCCAAAGCTGTATGCTGTCTAGAATACAGTATGGGTATAGTCAAAGCTGTATCCAGGATGGGCATGGGTTAACGCTGTCCGCACCCCCAACTGTTGGCGCGGGTCCAACTCAGTGACATCCGGCGGCACTTCAGGATTGACATTCCATAAGGCATGTTAGCAGCATGCAATGTCCTCACCCTACTGTCTGTGCACGTGTCAATGGGAGGCATGCAATGTCCTCACCCTACTGTCTGTGCACGTGTCAATGGGAGGCATGCAATGTCCTCACCCTACTGTCTGTGCACGTGTCAATGGGAGGCATGCAATGTCCTCACCCTACTGTCTGTGCACGTGTCAATGGGAGGCATGCAATGTCCTCACCCTACTGTCTGTGCACGTGCCAATGGGAGGCATGCAATGTCCTCACCCTACTGTCTGTGCACGTGCCAATGGGAGGCATGTACTGTAAGTCTACAAATTCTCAGCACGTTCAAACGTTGGTCTCCTAGGGCTAAAACACATTTCGGCCGCATTAAAATTTCAGCCTGTACTGCTGCTACCTGTATACATGTATACTGTCACACTGAACCTTGCTGCAAGTTGATGTCACTTCTCTGCGGTTGACGTCACAGTATAAGAATTAGCAGAGAAGTAGTGTTCTCTGTCCACCCGGGAACGGGTACGAGGGAGCACGGTGTGGGATAAAAGGAGGTGACGAGTGCAGGGTCGGCCTCTTTTGTCTTTGTGCGGAGAGTTGAGTGAGAGTGCCCACCCACCCACCCCAGTAATCATCATGTAATTTCATACATCATCGCTTTGATTATTCTAGTGATTTGATTATTCTAGAGATTCTATTCTTTTATCTTTGTGCTGTGGTGGCCCCCACTGGCAGTGTTCACGTGTTCAATAGTGGTGTACACGTATGAGTGAGTGTGCGGATGTGTGCGCAACGAGTGAGTGCAGGGTGGACAGAGAACAAAACAAAACTTCGGCTGCAACAAGTTTTCGGCCAAAAAATGCCCAGGCTGAAAATAGGCGAAAATTAATATGCGCCGAATATTTGTTGACTTACAATACGTCCATGTGGCTGTGTACACACGAGTTTTCAACATGGGCTGAAACTCAGTGCAAGTACGCAAGTAAGGACGACAGTACCAGTATGTCTTCTAGATTCCAACTCTCTTCCTTAGGTGTCTGGTTGGTATTTAAAACCTTCGACACTGGTCAATTGAAAATCGGAAATCCTTTTTAACGTTAGAAGGTGTACACCACACTGGTAGTGCGGATGTCTGTGAGGGGTCGAAAGCCTCATGTTAATGCATCAAAATCCTCGTGTAAACACAGCCTGAACTTACGCAACATGACCTTTACTAAATGGTTGCTACTAGTACAGTACAGGAACAAGTACACGCACATACAGGTACACACACACACACACACACACACACACACACACAAGCACGCACACACGTGCGTGCTTGTGTGTGTGTGATTGAGCACGCAGACAACGCCAACGGCAGCGCTTTCTTACCTTGGACAGATAGGTGAAGCCAGTTTCCCTTGCCACTCGGCGCGCACCTTCCTCCCCTCCCTGCACCTCCACTGCCCATTGATTTAGGTAATGATGAGCTGGGTGAGAATTAGGCTCAGAAGCATCCGAGTTACCCACTGCTTCGTCACGCCGTTCCGCCAGCACGACACAGCACGCCACCAACAAACATGTGCACGCTATCCATAGTCGAGCCCAGAATACTGGACTCATAATGTACTGTCTGCAATTTCCCGAGTTCTCCCTCTCGCCTCCACCAACTCCATTCAAAATTCAGCGAACAAAGAAGCAGGCGATGTCCTTCCTCGAACAATCACTTGATGCTCACCTGCACTCTCGCTACACTATCTCCAGGGAATACTCGCGATGCCAAGCTCCTAAAGTAACGACTTACGTAGATCTACTGGGCAGCAAGATTCAACAATAGTGTCGTGACCCGAGGTCGACGACGCACAGCCATCCTAGCAACCGTTACCTGGCAGACGAGGGCCTAGCCAGCACCAGCTGACAAGCGCTCAGCTGACTGACGGGTACGAGTCGCGCCTGCACCGCATGTGCACAGTACGGTAACTAATTACTTACCGCATTTTTTCTATTCACTACATCATTACTACTCATTACATCACTACTACTCACTACATCATTAGACATTACTACTACGTAGCCTTTATCATTGTTTATACGCTGTACATAATCATACAACTGCTACGATGCTGCATAATCTCGCGCCTTGTCAACTATCATAGTCTATTAACTAGTATCTTCTTCCATTCTTGCATGTTGTATCCCGCCGTTATGAGACGTTCAATCATTATGAATCTAGCTTTGTCCGTTACTTGTCCCCTTGTCCCGCCGTCTAATATGATTAGTGAGTACAGTATGTGTGCTCTGATTGGTTGTTGTTAGTTATTGTTATGAATATAAGTCCCTGTCTTTTATACGTTCGTCCTCTCGCTCCGGTACAGCTTCGATCTTGATCTCCTCTTTCTTCTCTCTATTATTATTATTAATTCAACATCTCCTGGCTCGTCAGAAGACTGCCAATATATATGAAAAGTCGGGTGGTAGCCAACCACGTCGAACTGAATAATAAGGAGAGAAACAAAGAGAGTACTGCTAGGGGAGGCATGACGAAAATGGTGAGATTATTTAGGACGAAGAAGCTGAAGCTTGAACTCCTTAATGTCTGTGCATGCTTTAAGGCTAGTTGGCAGGGAAGACCAGAGAGTGTACGCAGAGAAGATAGGAGATTTCAGAAACAGGGAGGTATTGGCACGGGGTAATGAGAAGGAATGACGTGTTGATCTGGTGGACACAAACCAGTTATACTTAGCAAAGTGTTTTGCAGCCAGGTCTAATAAGATCATGTGTACAAGGATGCAAAGATGTTGCTGGTGTCGCTCTAAGAGGGGAGATACTGAAGCTAAACTGTAGAGACGTTGGGAGGAGAATGTTTGATTTTTGCGAAACAGGATTTTTAGAAGCAGACGCTGGTGTATTTCCAGAGTTTGAACAAGGGCCTGAGATAGACCGCACCACGCTGTGTCACAGTAATCAAATATAGGTAGAATATATGACGTAAAGAACAATTTTCGGCAATGGTCATTTAAATGGTAGCAGTGAGGTTGCAACATGCCAAGGGAGGAGCTAGCTCGCTTGCATACTGACTGGACCTGTGGGGACCAGGACATATGGCTGTCGAATATAACACCAAGGTGTTTGTGTTCATGAACAATTTTAACGTTAGCATTGGCTCCTGGAAAGTGCAACGGCTGAGTAGGCGGCGATGGGCTGATGAACATTGCTTCGGTCTTCGCGATGTTGGGCCTCAGCTCTACCTCTGACCTATCTACAAGGTATGTCCTTGGAAACGGAACTCTTGGTGGGCTGTTGAGTGATGGCGTGCATATATTGTGCACTTGGGATTCTGGGTCTTGCTCACACTTCGTGGCCGTCCTATTTGGTGTTGTTCGCAACGCAGGCTTTTGACTGACCCTTGGGGTCGGGTCATGACAATTGGTGCTGTGACCAGGATCCGTCACTCAATGTGAACTAATCCTCGGTTCTTTTTCTGGTGTGGCTTTTTTTGTCGTATCCAGAATGGCACAGGAAATGCTAGAGGAGTTCAACGCCCTTACGCAAGAAGCAGGCCAGGGGCGGGAGACTCCAACCAGGCAGGCCTTGGAACGGGCGATTGCTTTGTTTGAAGGCGTGGGCCGCCCCGACCAAGGGCGACACTTGCGAAAATTGAAGGAGGACCTGGACTTCCTGTCATTAATATCCTTCAGGATATTGGGCCGGCATGCCGGTCACCGCACGGAGGAGTCGGAAGAGCCACCGAGAAAGAAAACTCGTAAAAACTCACGTAAGCCTAAGAAGGACAAGGCGTCTCCTAGTGCGAAGAAGGACCTGAGTACCGACACGGAACTCCCAACAGACTTACCAACTACCCCCGACAAGTCTGCGTCACAGTAATGTGCGGCCTCTTTTATTGGATCAGATATTAATTCAATAAAAGTATTGTTATCTAAATCTGACTGCGCTCTGATCGCGTGTATGGTGAGGAATGGAGGCTAAGACCGAAACTGTGGGGAAGTCTCATTTTCTTGAGATTGTTTGGTCAGAACCTGGCGGCATGTATAAGCCTTTGATACGTGAAGCGAGGAACCTGGGCATATATCTAGAACCGACAAGTAGTGTACTCGCAAGAGGGCTGGTTCGGGATATAAATAGTCGGCAGTCACATTGACATACAGGGTTGGGTCTCTGGAGTCACGCTTGTTCAGCGGTAAGAACGGGTATAGGTGTGTAACACATTTTTACACGGTGCCATCACCGGTGGTATATCAGGAGCTGCAGTTTGAACTACTTCTTCATGGTCATGCAGTCACTAGAATGAAAGTGGTCGTTGTTCACTTTTCTTTCTAGAAATGAATAGAGATGCTGTCCTCTAGTCAGGCAAGGCTAAGACACAGCATATTCAGGAGAGGACACACAGGCTGACGAGAACGCCAGCTGGTGTAATGTGTGAGAAGTGTTACAACACACGCGGGTAAACACACTACATGTACCGGCTTAGGACGGTGTATCGGGAGGCACGGAAGGGAGATGACAAGTCCTAGAGACGGCAGGCTCAGGGACACTCAGCGGAAACGCCGAGTGACCCAAGTATCCAAAGAAAACTGGAAGGAATTGAACTAATCAGTCCTCCTGGTCGAACTAGGACACACAGGACTAAGGCAATGGGCCGGGGGATCCGCACTAAGTAAAAAGGATCACTCGGCAGCTTTCGGGTCAGGTCACTCTGGTCGAGTCTAAAGCCCGGCTGAAGGGGAACGTCGTGTACGAGTGTACCAGACTAGGAAAGAAGGCACTCTGGTCGAGCCTGAGATGAGAGGGGCGTCGTGTACGAGTGTACTAGACATCCAAGGATGAAAGGATTGAACGGATTCAGGCGCGCCACGGTGCGTTTTGAAATCGTTTTGGAAAGAGGCCACTATGATCGACCCTGAGCCCGGTTGAGGGGGGCGTCGTGTACGAGTGTGCTAGGCATCCAAATGTAGGGGAAAAGGAACTCTGGTCGACCCTGAGCCCGGTTGAGGGGGGCGTCGTACGAGTATACTGGACACATTGGAGAGAAGGCACTCTGTTCGAAGTAGTAGGGACCGAGCCGGGCATGGTGCAAAGGCGACCTTTGACCTTTTGTGAATGGGTACTTGAACTTTGCGGTTGTTAATTAAGTGGCCACTCGACCTTTTAATTGGATAAGTGGTAATGAAGTGGCCACTTGAGATCTGAAGTGGTTTTGAAGTGGGCCAGGTGTCATATTTAATTGGATTAATGATTAAGTGGTGTTTGAAGTGCCTCTCGGCGTCATAATTGCTTTTAAAGTGGTGGGTGTGGTTGTTGACAAGAGTCACTGTCTGGGAATGTGTTCTGGAAACTTCTAGGTATTCCCAGGCTAATTAGAACTAGCTCTACGGTATGATGTCATAGGGGGGGGGGGGTATTTTTTAGGAGGTGTGACTCATTTATAAATTGATATATGATGCAGCGTTTACTGGAAAATGTGATCAGTTAGCATAATGGATATTGAAGAGCAATTTGAAATACTGCGTGCGTACAAGGAGCGTCAACGCGCCGTCGTTGAGCATGACGATGACCCTTGTCCTGATGCCCCTCCTCCTAGTCCAAACATTGACAAATATTTTCATAATCATCAAGTTGTGAACGAGGGGCACTTTGTGTGTACTGTATGCGGACTTGTTCTTGATAGCGTGCTGTTGCCGGAGGTGAATTTTACAGAGAGATGCATTCTCCCACGGCTATATGCGGCTCGGGAGCGATTGACTGCCGTCGACAGACATCTGGTACGCTTCATGCAGAAGACCGGTGTCCTGCTGAACCTTCACGGTGTGCTGGAACCGTTGCAGTACATGAAGAAGGAGAGTGGCTACAAGAGCCTGAACTATGCCATAGCTCTGACATGCATCTGTGCTGAGCACGACGAGATTTGCCAGAAGCTTCAGACATATCTTCCAAAGAGCCATGTGGCGTGGGCACGATCCAGCAAGCTAATGAGTTGCAAACCGCAGCAATTTTCGAAAGCCTGGCTCCGCCAACTTCTAATCCGCACAAAACCTCTTACCCCTTTTCAGCTGAAGAAGTTTAAGCAGAATATCCGAGAGTTTAATTCTGAGGAGAAGGAACTGATGCAAAGACTAATCCAATCTTACGGGTGCTGTGAACCTCGTGTGGAATTAATTCCTGCGGAGATGAAATGTGCGCTGTACCGTTTCTCAAGTGCCATGTGTAGGGCGAGGAAGATGATGATGAAGGGTACCGTTGCCGCTGTATAAAACCCCTGACATCTTAATTTTCCATCATTTCGCAAAGCATCCTTGCCAAGTCACAAGTAATTGTTGTTGTTGTCTTCATCCTTGCTATTACTTTGGTGAAGAAGAAGAAGAAGAAGAAGAAGAAGAAGAAGAAGAAGAAGAAGAAGAAAAACAACAACAACAACAACAACAACAACAACAACAACAACAACAACAACAACAACAACAACAACAACAACAACAACAACAACAAGAAGATCATGAACATGTGGTCTATTTTGAAAGATCATGGTGAGGACGGCCATTGTCCAATGGGTGCGCTGATGCGTTGTGCTGCGCGGTTAGGAATCGCAACCTCGCTGACAAACCTGGTGGAACCTTTCAATGGAGACCATGGATATGACCAAGCAGTTGTTGAAAGTCACCCCATAACCAACTTGATCTGGATTGCTGCCAAGGACATGGCTTGCTGCGGGCGGAAAGAACTACTTGATGTAGTGAAGCTGCTGTTTCCAGTTGATCCAAGCCCTGATGGAAGTACGCCTAGTACTGCTACTGGCAAGTCGGACATTGCTCAACGCCACCTCATGAAGAATCTATCCTGCGTGTTCAAGAAGGTGAAGAGCACCCCTTCCAGTAACAACATTAGTATGATCATCGTGTTGGTTGCAATGCTCATTCTCTTGTGTGAAGAAGTGTCGCTGAGAGGATACGATCATGAGCTGCACTGCACTCTAGTTGAGTTCTTCGATCGAGAACTGCATGCTCTTGACGTGGTGCACTACAAGCGTTGTCAGCAAACTCAGTCAACATTCACGAATTGTGGAATTCCACAAATGCTCACATTGATTACTATTATGTCTATCCTTGCCTCCCTCACTTTGAGCTATATTATTTGACATGTGGACACACACACACACACACACACACACACACACACACACACACACACACTCAAATCATCATCATCATCATAATACATGACGTTATTCATTAAAAACATTTTATTATAATTTATCAATACACTTGGTAAAGAAAACGGAATGAATCATAAATGTTGTAGTTTCTGTACACGCCTGTGATGGTATCGTCCATTCTCAGTACGGCTTGATTGGCATGGAGTGGGTTGGAAGTGAATGACAGCGTGCACTTGTTCTTCCTGGGTGTTTGACTGTGTGACATCCAGTAGCGTATCTCCTTTGTCCCGCGCTCTGCAGCATCTGCAGGGTATCCAACTAGAATGTATAACCCAAGCGGCACATGCACCGACATGGGCGACTACCATGATCTCTACCTGAAGACCGATGTGCACCTTCTTGCAGATGTGTTTGAGAAATTTAGATGCACTGCAATGGCCACGTACGATTTGGACCCGACACACTACTACACCCTGCCTGGATTCGCGTGGGACGCCCTTCTGAAACATACAGGAATCTCGCTCACTCTGCTGGACGACGTGGACATGCATCTGTTCGTCGAGCGCGGTCTTCGTGGCGGTGTTACAATGGCGTCACACCGCCACGCCAGGGCGAACAACAAGTACATGAGCTCACACGACCCTGAGCAGGCGTCAACATATCTTCAATACCTCGACGCGAACAACCTGTACGGCTGGGCCATGTCGCAGCACTTGCCGACATCAAAATTCCAGTGGTGTGCCGCCAGTGACGAACTCCTGCAGAAGATCCTCACCCAGCCAGATGACGCAGACACTGGGTACATGGTGGAGTGTGATCTGTCAGTGCCCACAGAGTTCCACGATCGCCTGAACGACTACCCACCCGCACCGGAGCGTGTAACCATCACCGAGAGTATGATGTCGCCATACCAGCGCGACTTGATTGCAGCAGATCCTGTCTCCGGACTGAGTGCTCCGAAACTGGTCCCGAACCTCATGCCGAAGCAGCGCTACGTAGCACACTACCGTAACCTCACGCTGTACAGTCGTCTAGGTCTGAGGATCGATGCTGTACACCGCGTGCTCAGTTTCCGCCAAGCTCCGTGGATGAAGCCCTACATCCAGCTGAACACGGAGCTTCGGAAGAAGGCGAAGAACGATTTCGAGAAGGACTTCTTCAAATTAATGAATAACGCTGTGTTTGGGAAGACAATGGAGAATGTGAGAAGAAGGATCTCCATTAGACTGCTGCGTGTGGAAGACGAGGAAGATACCATTCTCACAGCTGTGGCTAAGTCCACCTACGTCCGCCATGCCCTCTTCGACAACGGGCTTGTGGGCGTCGAGAACAGGAAGCTTGCGGTCCACCTCAACAAGCCGGTGTACGTTGGCATGAGCATCCTGGAGCTGAGCAAGGAGCTCATGTACAGATTTTACTATGACGAGCTCCAGCCACGCTACGGAGACCGCATGAGCCTGCTGTACACAGACACGGACTCGCTGGTGCTGCTGTTCCGCACGGAGGACCTCTATGCGGACATGAAGAGTATGGCCGATCAGTACGACACCAGCAACTTTAGCCCCGACAGTCCTCTGTACAGCGAGAGTAATAAGAAGGTTGTACATGTAGGTAAATTTAAGGACGAGCTCGGAGAGAAGCTCATGACAGAGTTCGTGGCGCTCAGATCCAAAATGTACGCGTACGATGGCGAGGAGAGTGGTCAGCGTGCAAAGGGCGTCAAGAGAGCGGTGACGAGAAGATTCACGATCGCGGACTACCGTCAGTGTCTGGTCGACAGGACGAGGATGTCACACGCAATGACCACCCTGCGCAGCCATTCGCATCGTATCTTCACCGAGACGATGACCAAGTCGTCTTTGTCGCCGTTCGACAGCAAACGATACATCCGAACGGACGGTGTCAGCACACTTGCACATGGGCACCACCGCATCGCACTGCTGGATGACTGAACAATGATGGTTGTGGTTGACAATCACAATTATTAGTCACACCCTGTACCATATCAATTCCATTTGTCTAATGAGTTACTGATCTTGATCTTGATGATGATGATGATGATGTTAATGTTATTATTTTTCTACATACTACATAATTTTGTTGTCTCCATAACTTAACTAGACTTTTAATATAGCTAAACATAATTGCGTGAAATGCAATTGCACAGTTGATGATGTTTACGATGATGGCAATGTTTGATGTTGATGTTGATGTTGATGATGATAATAAGAATAAGATTGCTCTTGTCGGCAGCTAGAGCTTGCTCAATTGTCCGTTGTCAATCCAGGAGTTGAACTTGTCCGGGTAGCCTTTCCACTTGACCAGAGACTGTCCGGGGCGTTTGCGCAGGACTTTCTCCACGCGGAACTTGGTTTTCCTTGGTTTTCTGCAGTTGATGTTCGTAGAAACTGCCCTGAATAGGCTCGTTCATGAGATCTCGAATGTTGTAGGTGGGTGGTTGGGTGGGTAGAACTCTATTCACGACGAACACCTCTTCAGTCCAATTGGGTGTGTAGCCCTTTTTCGAAATGAGCTTTGCTCACAGCAATTCTCACTTCATCGTTCACAGCATAGCGTCGCCGCGCTGTGCGTGCATCTGGACTTTTGCTGGGGTGATCCTGTACAAACGATGCATTACGCTCCTCGGACGCCTCGGCAGGTTTCATACCAATACTGCGGTACGGTGCTTGCTGGTGTTGTAGTCATGTACAAGTTTGGACTTTGGGTAGCACTTTGATGTAGACATTTGTTGATTTTGCTGTAAAGTGTTTCAGCGTTCTGTTGAATCGCTCTGCAACCACCGCCCCTTGCCGTCGTTATGAGTGCTGTACATGCTAATACCGTTGTCAGCAAGCCACTGCTTGACTGTTGCGTTGTAGAACTCTTTACCCTCATCGACCCACAGCTTGCGAGGTGAGCGCTTGCTGCTGGTCACGATGCTGCGAAACGCATCTCTGACAAGTGCGCCCGTCTTGTTCTGGAGCGGTACAACCCACCATGCATAGGGACCGAAAAGATCGATGACGGTCAGCAAATGTCGAGTGCCATTGTCATTTTTTTTTTTTTTTTGCAAACGCCTGCATGTCCACCAGATCTTCACTCCATTATGATAATTATGTCATCCAACTCGTGCACTATCACACGTCTGCGGGGAAGCGTACACGTCTTGGTCTGTGCATTTCACTGGCTTTAAACGCTCCATCCACACATCATCGTCATCCTCACTAGCACTGACACCACTGTCAGTGCCTGGGGCAGCAGCAGCAGCAGTTGCACCGCTGTCACTCCCAACACCGCCAGTCCCACCACCTGCGGTGCCGTTTGTGATTGAATCACTGTCAACGTCCAGGATCACGGGATCCTTGTGCAACCTATTGTCAGTGAAGTCACAGTTAGTGGCGTGCAAGTACTCGCAAAGTACCTTCAATAGTACCCTGCTCCGAGAACAGTCTCCCTACGAGAACTGCATACCGACCACACACAGCAGTGCATGATAAAATAAAAAAAAATAAAAAAAAAATATATTGACTGGTTATAAAAATGTTATTGAATAAAGTCATGTATTATGATGATGATGATGGCATGTGTGTGTGTGTGTGTGTGTGTGTGTGTGTGTGTGTGTGTGTGTATGTGTGTGTGTGTGTGTGTGTGTGTGTGTATGTGTGTGTGTGTGTGTGTGTACATCTCCAATAATATACATGTAGCTCAAAGTGAGACAGGCGAGGATAGACATAATAGTTATCAATGAGAGCATTTGTGGAATTCCAAAATTCGTGAATGTTGACTGGGTTTGCTGACAACGCTTGTAGTGCACCACGTCAATAGCATGCAGTTCTTGATAAAAGAACTCAACTAGAGTGCAGTGCAGTTCATGACCGTATCCTCTCAGCGACACTTCTTCGCACAAGAGAATGAGCATTGCAACCAACACGATGATCATACTAATGTTGTTACTGGAAGGGGTGCTCTTCACCTTCTTGAACACGCAGGATAGGTTCTTCATGAGGTAGCGTTGAGCAATGTCAGACTTGTCAGTAGCAGTACTAGGGGCTGTCCCATCAGGGGTTGGATCAATTGGAAACAACAGCTTCACTACATCAAGTAGTTCTTTCCGCCCGCAGGAAGCCATGTCCTTGGCAGCAATCCAGATCAAGTTGGTTATGGGGTGACTTTCAACAACTGCTTGGTCATATCCAGGTCTCCATTGAAAGGTTCCACCATGTTCGTCAGCGAGGTTGCGATTCCTAACCGCGCAGCACACCGCATCAGCGCACCCATTGGACAATGTCCGTCCTCATCATGACCTTTCAAAATAGACCACAATCATGTTCATCATCTTCTTCTTCTTCTTCTTCTTCTTCTTCTTCTTCTTCTTCTTCTTCTTCTTCTTCACCAAAGTAATAACAAGGATGAAGACAACAATTACTTGTGACTTGACAATGACTCTTTGAGAAATGATTGAAAATTAAGATGTCAGGTTTTTATTTTTATTTTTTTATACATGTATAACAGAAGCAGCAGCAGCAGCAGGAGCAGGAGCACCCTTCATCCTCCTTCTCCTACACATGGCACTTGAGAAACGGTACAGCACACATTTCAACTCCTGAGGAATTACTTCCACACGAGGTTCATAGCACCCGTAAGATTTGATTAGTCTTTGCATCAGTTCATTTTTTCCTCAGAATTAAACTCTCGGATATTCAGCTTAAACTTCTTCACCTGAAAAGGGGTAAGAGGCTTTGTACGGATTAGAAGTTGGCGGAGCCAGTCTTTCGAAAATTGCTGCGGTTTGCAACTCATTAGCTTGCTGGATCGTGCCCACGCCACATGGCTCTTTGGAAGATATGGCTGAAGCTTCTGGCAAATCTCGTCGTGGTCAGCACAGATGCATGTCAGAGCTATGGCATAGTTCAGGCTCTTGTAGCCATTCTCCTTCTTCATGTACTGCAACGGTTCCAGCACACCGTGAAGGTTCAGCAGGACACCGGTCTATTCCATGAAGCGTACCAGATGTCTATCGACGGCAGTCAATCGCTCCCGAGCGGCATATAACTGAAATACCGCCGCTAAAAGGTACTTTCAACCATATCAGCTCACAGGTCTGGACAATTGGTAAAATGCATTGTTTTTCAGTTGTACCTCCACTACATAACATTACAATTGAAATTGAAGTTAACGTTCGAGAACCTTCGACGGTACGGGTAATTCATTTCTAAGTCTGCTGCAGTGGTGGCGGGGTTGCTATACCCTAATGGTTTCAAAAACATCCCAGACAGTCAATCTTATTAACACCACACCCACCACTTTAAAAGCACTTATGTCGCCGAGAGGCACTTCAAAACCACTAAGTCATTAACCCAATTAAATGTGACACCTAGGCCACTTAAAACCACTTCACGTTTCAAGGGGTCACTTAATTACCACTTATCCAATTATAAGGTCAAGGGGACTAATTAACAACCGACGGAGTCGACGGACATAATAGTAATCAATGTGAGCATTTGTGGAATTCCACAATTCGTGAATGTTGACTGAGTTTGCTGACAACGCTTGTAGTGCACCACGTCAAGAGCATGCAGTTCTCGATCGAAGAACTCAACTAGAGTGCAGTGCAGCTCATGATCGTATCCTCTCAGCGACACTTCTTCACACAAGAGAATGAGCATTGCAACCAACACGATGATCATACTAATGTTGTTACTGGAAGGGGTGCTCTTCACCTTCTTGAACACGCAGGATAGGTTCTTCATGAGGTGGCGTTGAGCAATGTCCGACTTGCCAGTAGCAGTACTAGGCGTACTTCCATCAGGGCTTGGATCAACTGGAAACAGCAGCTTCACTACATCAAGTAGTTCTTTCCGCCCGCAGCAAGCCATGTCCTTGGCAGCAATCCAGATCAAGTTGGTTATGGGGTGACTTTCAACAACTGCTTGGTCATATCCATGGTCTCCATTGAAAGGTTCCACCAGGTTTGTCAGCGAGGTTGCGATTCCTAACCGCGCAGCACAACGCATCAGCGCACCCATTGGACAATGGCCGTCCTCACCATGATCTTTCAAAATAGACCACATGTTCATGATCTTCTTGTTGTTGTTGTTGTTGTTGTTGTTGTTGTTGTTGTTGTTGTTGTTGTTGTTGTTGTTTTTCTTCTTCTTCTTCTTCTTCTTCTTCTTCTTCTTCTTCTTCTTCACCAAAGTAATAGCAAGGATGAAGACAACAACAACAATTACTTGTGACTTGGCAAGGATGCTTTGCGAAATGATGGAAAATTAAGATGTCAGGGGTTTTATACAGCGGCAACGGTACCCTTCATCATCATCTTCCTCGCCCTACACATGGCACTTGAGAAACGGTACAGCGCACATTTCATCTCCGCAGGAATTAATTCCACACGAGGTTCACAGCACCCGTAAGATTGGATTAGTCTTTGCATCAGTTCCTTCTCCTCAGAATTAAACTCTCGGATATTCTGCTTAAACTTCTTCAGCTGAAAAGGGGTAAGAGGTTTTGTGCGGATTAGAAGTTGGCGGAGCCAGGCTTTCGAAAATTGCTGCGGTTTGCAACTCATTAGCTTGCTGGATCGTGCCCACGCCACATGGCTCTTTGGAAGATATGGCTGAAGCTTCTGGCAAATCTCGTCGTGCTCAGCACAGATGCATGTCAGAGCTATGGCATAGTTCAGGCTCTTGTAGCCACTCTCCTTCTTCATGTACTGCAACGGTTCCAGCACACCGTGAAGGTTCAGCAGGACACCGGTCTTCTGCATGAAGCGTACCAGATGTCTGTCGACGGCAGTCAATCGCTCCCGAGCCGCATATAGCCGTGGGAGAATGCATCTCTCTGTAAAATTCACCTCCGGCAACAGCACGCTATCAAGAACAAGTCCGCATACAGTACACACAAAGTGCCCCTCGTTCACAACTTGATGATTATGAAAATATTTGTCAATGTT